AAAGGAAAAGGAAAAGGAAAAGGGAAAGGAGAAGAAGGAGGAAAAGGAGGAAAGGGAGGAAAGAGAGGAGCAGGAAAAGAGGAAATGAAGAAAAGAAAGAAAAGAAAGGGAAAGATAGGAAGAGGAAGAAAGGATAGGAGGGGAAGGATATAGAGATAAAAAGAAAAGGAAAGGGAAATATGAAGAAATGAGGGGAGGGGGAAGGGAATGAGGAAGAGAAAAGGAAATGGAGGGGAAGGGGGGAGGTGAAGGGAAGGGAAGGGAAAGGAGATAAAGGGAAAGAGAAGGAGAAGGGAGGAGAGGTAGAGAGGTGGGGAGAAAAGGATAAGGAAGAGTATAGAGGGAAAAGAGAATAAGGATGAAAAGGGATGAAATTTATTTGAATTTAAAGATTTATGATTAGATTCGAGGGGGGGATGGAGAAGAAAGAGGAGAAGAGGGATCGAAAAAGAGGGGTAAGGAGAGGGAGAGAGGCAAGGAATAAAATAGAATAGAATAGGATAGGATGGGGATAGAGATGGAGATAGAGATGGAGATAAAAAGATACATTTGATTTATTTGATTTATATAAAGTATAAAGTAACCCTATACTCGTATATAGAACAGAATTGACTGGTTTTCTCTACATATATTTGAATTTGGGTTTGGGTTTTGGGTTTGAGTTTTGGGAAGAGTGAGGGAAGAGTGAGGGAGAGAGGAAAGGTAGAAGGTAGACTGTATAGTTCCTTATTATAAGCTGATATGTTATAGAGAGTCAGAAATCATGTGTTTTGAAGGGGGTTGGTTGGAGATGTTGGAAGAGGTGGTAAGCGAGGAAGGAAAAATTGGCATCTGTATCTCATAATCAGGGGATGTAAGAGATATCCGAGGGGATATTCGAGAGAGGTAGAATGGAAATGTAAGTAATGGGGTGAATAGGAGACGAGGATATATATTGTATTATAGAGTAGTAATTATCTTTAAGATCGGAATTGGAAAGGGGGTTCGCTTCGAGGGGAATTTCCGGTGGGGAGTTTATCAGTTCTTGATTTAGTGATAAGAGTGTGGATGTGGAATGGAGATGGAGATGGAAATTGGAATATAAAGTGGAAGGAAGGGAGAATATATTAGGCTGAAAATTCTGTTTGGTTTGGTTTCTTGTATATATTCCTACATCTTCTAATTATACACGTAACATTCATGAGGTTTTTCCAATATATACTGATTTGAAAGCGGAATTGACTCACCAAGCAAACCTTCGATAGAAAACTTTTAAAGGGTAATTATGTATGTCCGTGATTTTGTTATCGGATGGGACTGTATTTGGTCTCTGGTTAATTAGATGGTGAATGGGATTTGGGAGTGGTGGTAAAATAATTTTCGGTTGTATTTATAAGGTTACAAGTTTCGTGGATAGGGGAGGAGATTGCCTCCGCCGTGTTGGAGGGGTTATGGTATGGTGTAGACATTTGAGTCTTAACAGCAAATGTGGTGACGGTTTGTGCGGGTTTGATCAATTCTCTAGTCGAGGAATATAATTTCAGAGGTGATTTCGACGAGTTAGATGGCTTGGGATTTATTGGAAGGTAGAATGGGAATTGATAGGATATCAAAGATTTAAAGCTCGATGATTCGCGGTGGGATTTTGCGCGGGTATTTCAGATTTGATGGATGGATGGATGGATTCTGGGGATGCAGTGGCTCCGTGATGGAAAGATAGGATGTGATGTGTGGGGTGGGGTAAACGGACAGTTGCGAGTATGGTATACTCGAATACATCAAGAGTGAGATCTGTTGAGGTGGTGATATAGGGTAGGTAGTTATTAGGAGGAGGAGGAGGATGATGGTATAGGTGAGTCATTCGGTGGGTGGACTGCATCTGTAAAGGGTGCTTGATAATTACTGATTACTAGGTATATTAATAGAAGATATATACGAGCATGGAGGAAAGTATGGTTTGGAGGTGTTTGAACTTGATAAGATGATAGAGGCTCGTAACGAGCTATGCTGGCTTTTCGCCCCGTTCATAATGTGGGAAAGTTGACATATATACTCCTTTACAATCAGTATAGTCAATAGTTGACCAGTTGAACCAGTGCATTGATTGAATCGACAGTTTAGTTTGATTGATACAAACTGCTGATTGATTTTGATTTATGTTATTCGAAATATTAGTTGGATTTTGTTTTTCAAATTTTAGTTAAGTTAATTAGTAGTTTAGTTTGTTGAATTTTATTATAAGTTGATTTAGTTTATAATATTCAAACTGTTAGTAATACTATATAGTTTCAAATTACTAGTTTCCCAACTAGTTCTAACTACTGACTACACTGTTTACACTGTTTGTAATGATAATCATAACTTTGATGTCCACTTGTTCATCTAGAATAGAAAAAATGAAACGAAGTGAGTAAGAATTCATCAGTAAAGTTGTCTCCATCTCAAAATGAACTTTCGAAAATGTAGAAGCTCCCCCTTCGAAAGTCGTAGTATCCAGGACAATATCAGCATTTTAGATAATGTACCCCTTGGAAATAACGAGAACAGCGATATAAAATAGGAATGGAACTTGAAGAGTACTATCTTCATGTACGGGAGCTCTCTTACAAAGAAAGTAATAGATATTAGATCTGAAACATGATGTATTATAAAGATGGTTTTTGTGGAAGATTTCAAAGCAAAGCTTATATGAAGCTCTTGCTATCTGTTATTGAGTGCTTAGACGTTGGAGTATAATTATTGTATGTTTCTCAAATAGACAACTCTGTTATGACTATTCCGAGTCAAGATATAAAATCGTATTAATAGCAGATATGATGATATTATGAAACTTTTGAGCAAAATTGTAATGACTAATAACGGATATTTCATGTCGAGTAGCTTTACGAATGGAAAGGCTATCAATAAGATCCGAGTGGCTTTATATATAAAAACACAATTAGCTCCAAATAGGTCTGAGTCATACGTGATGAGAATGCACAATATGAAACATCTTCCTCAGCTTTAGACAACAAATTTTAAGCAAGCATCAATAAATCAAATTCTCCATTTGATCTCAATGTTTAATCGACGTCCTATTTTCATATTGTGTGGAATTAGCCATATCAATGAATCTTACAGTTTTGTTATTCCGGGTCGTCAAGCGGCGGAGGTGATCATCGCTAATTTAGATTGAAGTTGATTCCATCCCTATTACCTCAAGCGAGGCTGACAGTCGTTGTTTCAGTCTGCAGTATTGCTAAGATACAGCATTCTATAATTTTCTCTCTTTATTAGATGCATTGATCTCCAAGCCAAAGCCGTGGCTCAACCTATTTTATCTCACACAGTAGAGATGAAGTCTTGCCTGAGCTCGAGAATAGTACGTTTACCGTTTACCGTGAATGATGTTCACCATGATCCCTTATGCATATTTCTTTCTTGTGAAGGTTTGCCATAACTTGATCACAATAGGATAGCAATTGGATCTCGACCCTATATCATCCCACAAGACAATAGGGGTAAATGAACCTAAACATGGTCTCACAATTCGGTATACTAATAATACACGTTACAGAGTGATTATGCTAAATTGAGTAATTAGTACATCACATCAACTGCGCCAAAGCCAACGAGATTCTAGTGAGAGAAGCGTGGTTAAATCTACCGAATAGTTGCGTTGTGGTCTCGCTTAATTTTGTTTGGGGTTGAGAAAGATGGATTTAATTTTTACAGAATGAGCCACGAGGAGGAGAGAGGCGATGGCGATACAAGGCCTGTCAATTCAAGACTAAATTGTCAATATTTAATCTGTCAGGGAAGTAACATTGTGATGGAACAAGCTTTCGATTGTCTATGTCTTTGAAGCTGAATATCACCGTGTCACGCTCCTTCATTTCTTCCAATCCTCAGAATTTCGCGTGACCTTCATGCTTTTTAAGCTCTGATTACTTTTGACACAGCGCGAAGGGCCTTAGAAGATGGGATTACTATATAATGCATCGAGTTTCATAATAATCAATAGAAAAGGATCAAAAAATCAAGTGATATATCGATTCTGAACGCCCAAATGCTTGTTGTAAAAGCCCGGAGATGCAATGTCCTATTGCCGATCCGAAAATGCATTTCTACTTCTACATCTTTCCATTGCTAGTATCCGCCCAATATGGAAGTGAATTGTCTACGATCTAGACTTTACACTTCTTCTAATAATTACGTCCAAAGCAGGTGATCATCCCACCTGCTATATCCAGCAAACTTCGTCAATAGTATCTCCATAGCTTCTAAATCAATATCAATCAAGTCATCTAAATCAAGAATGCTGTCTGGTGGTAAGAGTTGCGGCCATCACTCACCACACACCTAGCGATTTCGCACCAAAAACCATCATTTCTTCAACTTTTTAACCTTACAATAAAATTCTGGGATTAAAATATAAGACTTTAAAAATTGATATTTGAATAATTAATTAATCAAAGTTATTCAAAAATAAAACAGAATATTTTTGTCAAATTTATTTATTAAATTATTATTGTTTGAAATCAATTGAAATGAAATTTTCGAAAATATTGCTTATTTTGTATAGGAAAACGTTACATTCGCAAGTTTTTCAAAGTTTCAAAATTTATTTTTCATTATGAAAATTTATTAAAATTATTCTAACTAATTTATTAAATAATAATAATAATAATTAATTATATAAAAAAGTTTCAAAATCGTATATTCAATATTGAAAAAGTTATTTGATTTTTATATTTATATAGAAAAGTATGGGTTTTGCAGAGATTTTGTCACGAAACGAAAGGGTATGCGGTGAGTGATGGCCAGAACTCTTATATCAACATCTGGTTCTAAATCTACTACTGAAATAAGGTCTATGTAGCAAATGACTGATTTACCACTACAAGATCAGACAATTCGATAACATTACTACCTCTTATTATCATAGGGCATAGACTTGGCATTATTTTCTGGAATTTATTATTTATCCATATATTGAGACTCCTTACCTAAATCATTCCAGATACACTCATCATGTATCAACATTTTCGGAGCATCTATTGGTAATTATCCATCTCCTCTAAGTAGAGATCAACATATTCAAAAACTTATAACTTTCTATTCCCATAATAGTCTAAATAATTGTTTTATAATTTAATTAGATTAGATAGATTATTAAAACAAATTTGATATCTGTGACCAAAAGGGTATAAACATGACTCCGATTGTGTGCTTAGAATCTACAAGTGAAGAGCTATATAGGGTGCTAAAAGGAGGACTATATATACAGGTTTTGGGAGCTCCAATAGCTAGACCCAAAGGAGTGAAAGAAAGACTAGAGATAAGTATCGTACGATGCCTAGGTCTAGAGCTATAGAGCTAGGGCTCTAAGCTGTGAAAGGAAGGTCTAAAGGAACCGTCTTATCATACTATATAAGGTATGTAAGCTAGTGGACGGAAGAGAGCTGTCGGTTCCGTTACAATATAGTAGAAATAATTTAATTAAACTTAAATTCAAAAATCTAGATTAATATAATAATATCTCAACTTTTAGACTGGTTAAGCTTAAGATTAGACCTAGATTTAAAATTAAACCTATAATTAGATTAGAGGTTTTAATCAAAATATTACTTCGTTTAAATACTATTCAAACTCTGATTATTTATTAAAGATATTTATATAATCACTAGTAGAATTCTATCCTAGTAATTAACTCTATAATTTACTAATTATTTAATAAAATAATAAAGATATATTATTTATATAACTATAACTAGAACTAATCTAATTTATTTACATTATAATCTAAGTAATCTAGTTTCAAAATATCAATAAACTAGTCAATCTATCTTTTAATTAAATAACTAATTCGATTAGCTATATTAAAAAAAAACATATAATAGTATATTATATAGGTCGAACTACTCGTATTGAATATACTAATAAATACTAGCGATAAACTATTATCTAATTGTGACGGAACAGACGGCTCTCTTCAGCCCACTGGCTCATACTACATACATAATATGATATGATGACTCTTTTGGACCTTCCTTTCACAGCTTAGAGCCCTAGCTCTATAGCTCTAGACCTTGGCATCTTATGCCTAGGACTCTTTCACCCTTTTTGGCCTAGCCCTTATAGCTCCCAATACCTGTATATATAATCCTCCTTTTAGCATCCTACATAGCTCTTCACTTGTAGATTCTAAGTACACAATCGGAGTCCTGTTTATACCCTTTTGGTCACATAATTATAATACAGTATACAAATAATATTAATTACAAGAATCTCTAGAGTAATTCTATTATTAAAATAGAGTTCTCTTTAAGCTCTTTTTTAAGTTATACTATAAAAAACATTATTTATAAGAAACGAAGAAAGAAATAAAGAAGAAGATATTACTATAGAGAAAATGAGAAGAAGAAAATAAAAAGACAAATATAAATTAGAATTATAGTTATTTAATAACTATATTTATACTCTACTCTCGAGTACTATTATACTATTCATCTTAGTACTAGACATTATATAGATATTAAACTAAAATCTAAACCCTAATAGTTTAAAAAAAACTTAAAAAGGATATCTTTACTTACTTACTTACTATATATAATAATACTATATTATACTAAATATCACTCTCTGTAACGCTAACTCACTCATTCACTCACTCATTCACTGACCTGCTCTATCAATCTATAAATCAAAAGCGATAAAACTAACTAATCAGCTCCTCAACTCCTCAACTACTTTATTTACCCTTTTACTTTTAAACTTATTTTTTATCAATTATTATTCAATATCCTCCTTCCTCTCCCTCTCCCATCCCTATCCCCATCCTTCTTCTTTATCCTCTATCCTCTATCCTATATCCTCCATCCTTCATTGTCCATCCTCCCCCCCTCCCCTACCCCTTCTTCTCCTCTAAAATTACTATCCTTCCAAATCTCCTATATCTCACAATCCAAAATCTCACTATCCAACAATTCATTATACATACACAATCCTACTCTCCCATAATCCTCCCATAATCCTCCCGCACAATCCTACTCTCCCATCCTCCCACTCCTATATACTCTCCCATATACTCTCCCATACAATCCTACTCTCCCCCATATACTCTCCTATTATAAAAGTATTATATCTCTATATCTCCGAGTCTATATCTACATCTGCATCTATATCTGAATCTATATCTGCATCTATATCTGCATCTATATCTACATCTATATTTGTATCTGCATCTATATCTGCATGTTATACATATTATATATGTTAATTATATCTACTCGCATAAGTATATGTATGATTCAATCCATTCATTCATCCATCCATCCTACCCTCAACACCACCCCCAACACCACCCCACCTTAGACCTCCTCCCCTCACCCCCTTCCATCCCCTCATCCATCCCTCATCCATCCATCCCTTCCATCCCACCCCTCTCAAAAACCCTCCCAAAAACCTCAAACAAATACTATCACTATAGCCATTGCAGTACAAATAACCATATATAGTAATTATAATCTTAGTATATATATAAATTCTCTCGTACATATTCTCTCGTATATATATATAAGCAATACTCTCATACATATAAAACTTGAAAGAATTTATTTATTCATTTCATTTCATTTCATTTCAATTCATGTCATCCCCTCTCATCCCATCTCCTCTCATCTCCTCTCATCTCCATCCAAATCCATCCCATCCCATTTATTTAATTTATTTCATACCCCTTCCCCTCCAATTGTAAAATTGTAACTACTTCTAGTGTTTGCGACATTTATCTGTGCAACCGACCAACTATCCATCCATCATAACCTAGAGTAGAGTAGAGCTAGAGTAGAGCTAGAGCTAGAGCTAGAGACGATCGAGGCCATCCATCCATCGATCAAATCAAGAAGAGAAAACAACAAACAGCGCTTGCAAAAAAAATAAAAAAAGTCCAGAAAAAAATATAATAAAAAGAAGAATATCATATCAAGTCAAAACATTAGCTAGCTAGCTAGCCAGCCTACCAATCATCATCAAAGAACCCATCCAGCCAGCCTTGACTTCCTTCCATAAAAGCAAAAGCAACGCTAAACAATTGCACAATAAAACGCATCCATAAACTCATCTCATCCTAATCTCAACTCATCTCAACTCTCTCTACCCTACCCTACCCTACCTACAGCCTTCCTCCCTATTGCCTCGATCTCGCCTTTATATTCGCACCATCTGCTTTTGCAATTACATTCCCATTTGCATCAGTCACCTCCCTCACAAACGAAACATGTTTATCATCTTTCTTAGCACGATCCTGATCACTTCCTCTTCCCAACACCGATCTCCCTACCACCTTCTCGGCATCACCATCCTCGATATCTATTTCCGCGACATCACTACCCTCGTCAGCATCCTCGGATGATACGCTCTCGGCATCATCATCACCTTCGTCATATTCCCCATCGTCACTTACAAGACTGGGCGCATTGTTACTGGCAACAGTGTTGGGACTGAGGTCGATGATCGAGGATCCATCTGGGATACACATACCCATATCCATACCCATATCCATACCCATATCAATATCTCCATCGTGATCGTGATCTCGGATATTGATAGGCTGTAGGCGATTGACCGGTCGGGGTTCCGATGCTGCCATAGAAGTATTGAGGGTAGCATAAGATGGATGAGGTGCCATGTGACCATGCCCAGTTCTTGCAGCAGCATCAATACCTTTACTGCTTGTAGGCCGTGCAAGGTGTGCTGGTGTCATGATAGCTCGGGCTGGCATACGCATACCCGTCATTGGTGCATCTACCAGTCCATCAAAACCACCAGGGCGACGAGAAGGAACAGCAACAGTTGGTGTTTCAGTTACTTCATCATCAGAGGATTCCTCTTCAGATAATGAAAGTTCATCCATATTGATACGTGTTTTTGCATCACCGACTATTTCGTCAAGATCACCACCGAAACCTCTCCCCTTCAATAACTCGGAAAGATGAGGTGTGGAGGTTGATGGTATGAAACTTTGCTTTGGAGGTTGCACTTTGGGCTTCACATCGAGTTGCTTCTGTGGTGACGAAATTGCACTTCCAGGAATTGACGTGACACCAGGAAGCCTGCCTTGTCGATATAGGCTCATAGAATCGTTGATACGAGAAAGAAGAGCAGTATGGGCTTCTTGGTCGACGGGCGCACTTTTGATAAGAGGATGAACGAGATCACCAATTGATACACTTGACATCTTCTCCAAAGCAGTAGGTGCACCTGCACCAACCTCATCGACTTCGATAATCTGTCCACTAATCTGAGCAGCCTCTTCATGACTCTTAAACTCACGATGATGGCCAATGCGACAATGATTGATGAAACCTTGAGTACTGGAGAAATCTTCGCGATTGCAATCCAAGCAGACAAGCTTAACAGTTTTACCATCGCTTCGCTTGAGAATAGATGGTCCCGTTTTCTTTGGTTGAGAGTTACTACTGGAAAGAGATTGTAAATTTTGGCCATAAGATCCACGATGTGTTCTTGATTTAGTTGACAGAGTACTTCCATCAACGTTCCCATTTCTAGTAGCTCTTCCTTCCGGTACCGTCTTAGCAGCGCGTGGTCTGCCTGGGCCTGCATGAGAGTCAACACTGACACCATCAAAATCCGGGTCGGGAATTAGCCATTTTGCCCAATGTCTCGTGTACGGCCCTTCGGTAATTCCATACGGCGGAGCCCATTTAGGGACGTCGTTGCCACCCCAGACTGCTGGACCAGTACCAGCACTAACAATGGACATCGCCTCGGGAGAAACCTGAGCTCCGGTACCTTGAACACCTGGGAATGGTATTAAGTGGACGCGACGTAGTTGTTCGAGAGATATTTGACATTTGGCAAGCTCGGCTTGGATTAGGCGCAACTCGTTATGCTTCATAAGAATCTCGAGGCTGAGTTCGGACTCGATTGTTTCTCGAGCCAGAGCGAGATCGACAATCTGTTTTTTGCTGACCGTCAATTTGGCATCTTCTCTCCCATTCATCATGGGCGAAAGCTTTTCCTCCTCGGACAATTCGCGCTTTCTTCGTTTAGCTTTTAGAATTGTTGAGTCGTTCAAGTCCGGCATCAGGATATTCAGGCTACTACTCCTCTTTCGTTTCGGAGAACTTTCGCATTTGTAAGGAGAGAAATCGGCCTGTGTCATGATATATTTGTTTTCTCCATCTAACACTTGATCGCAACCCCTGGATTCGGAGATCCAAGAAGGCAGACGAAACATTCGCATGTAAAATGGAAAGGTCGAATGGGTAATAGAGTGAATGTGCGACCAGGCACTATTAATGTTGAATAGGCAAATAATGCGCTCGTAGTTGCCCGAGTGATTGCGCTCTGAAAGTTGGTTGAACTAAACTTAAATACTCTTGGTGGGTGTAAAAGTAAGTGTTCGTAAGTTTTGCGATCTGACGTCGATGATGTGATAGATAAAGACCTCCCCCTAAAAGTGATGGAACCAAGTCTAAAAAAAAATGCAAAAATGCGCCGAGGATTTTTGTACAGTCGAACTAAAATCAATTACAAGAGTGTATTGTGTAAGATAAATCGTGAAAGGATTGCGTGAGAATTGAAATTAAATTATGCCTTAAGAATTTGGCTTTGTTGTGATCGTGATTGTGATTGTTTAAAGAGAAAGACTGATTGTTATGATTGAAGGTATTTTTGGTTGTTGGGTTGTGGGTGTGGTTGTAGTTGTGATTGTAGTTGTGGTTGTGGGTTGTGGTTGTGGTTATGTGTGTCTTTATTGAAATATTGCGACCGTGTAGATATTGGGAGAGGGGGATGGTTTGCGATACGGACTCAAATGGGGGGTGGGGGGAGCGGGATATTTTGAAAAGGTAGGAAGGAGAGTTGACGTATGTACGGCAAGGCAAGGCAAGGCAAGGTAAGGTAAGGTAAGGCAAGAGCGAAGAAAGGTGGGGAATTTGGTCGACCGCTCCTCGTTGGCTCGCTCGTTACGTGGGTGAATGGATGGATGGTGGGTAGATACAGTAGGTACCTAGGTACACTCACTCACTGGTGGCTGGTGGGTCGTGGGTCGTGAATTGGGTCGTGAATTGGGTCGTGAATTGGCTCTTGCGCTCTTGCTGTAAAATGTGGTAGCGTAGCCGTAGTAAAGTTAAATGAGGCGAGGTTAATAAGTAGTGAAGTAGGTTAGGTGTAGAGAGAGAAAGACAAGTACAGTAGTAAAAAGAAGAAAACAAAGCAGAAAGTCGAATGTTTTCTTTTTGAATTTGTTATTATAAATGAATCGCAAAGTTGAAGTATGTATACGTAAGATAACCAAAATAATTTGAAGAAGTGAATTATTAAAAGGTCTTTTGTAAAAGTAATAATAAAAATAGTTATTTGAATGGTGAAGATATGAGTTGTTTTCAATACGTTTCGAATAGTTGAGTATTGTTGGAAATCCAGAGTAAGAGGAGTGAGTAAAAGTAGTTGTACAGTTTTTGTGGTGGTTGTAAGGTAGAGTAAAATGGTGTAAAGAAGAAGGAAGGGTAGATGATGGTTGTGAGGAGATTCATAGGAGGTTGTAATTGTGAAAGGATATAAAATGGCAGTGAGTGGCTCAGAGTAGGAAAGTCGGAATGTTAGCCTGTAAAATATCCTATGTGAAGTTGGAAAAGTGTTACAGTTGAATTGAAGACTGAAGTGAAGGGCTTAAGGGTCCCTCTTTTTCTTTTCGACTATCACAACTTCACTCCAAACAGTAACAAGTTGACCCGCAAAATGTAATGCTTTCTACCACCCGTAATGCTTGCGATATGCATATGAGTGGCAAGGGTGACGACGGGGGATTAAATATATGCTTACATTAATTTATTATGAGCCCTTTGTTATTATTGCTTGGATTAACTTGGAATGAAGAGATAAAGAGATATGATTGGATGAAAAGATAAGTAATCCTTGTTACTTAAGTTGCCATCATTTACGGCTAACTCTATGAGGGATGATTTTCAATTCTCCATCCCTTCTTTTATTCTATATTAGCGATGCCCATCTTCGTATGCAAGATGTTGGACCCACCAAATGTATGGGTAATAGATGTATCGCATGATTCCAAAAGTAGATCATACATAGGAAAAGGGGAGAGAAAGTGCTGATAGAGGTGAAGCATATATATAAATGAAAGAAGGAATCCACAATAGGTGTGATGTGTTTGCGATGTATGTTGCGGTGTTGCTGCGATTCCACCTCTACCAACCTACTTAGACTTAGAGTCTTAAGATATGATTCACGTACTCGGTATCTTTTATGCGTATAGTTACTGTTACATACACTTCATACGTATGTACTTGAACCTAGATTCCTTTGAGGTTACTTTCCACTATTCAAAAACTGACTCATAATGTTCTCGACCATTCGCTAATCATAGTGTAAGCCATTTAAAGAGGCTGCCCCAGAAATTACCTCGAATTTAGAATCCATTTCATCAACAACCGTGCGTAGCCTACCTGAGAGTACTTTTAAACTCATCATCTATCTTGAATGGACAACTAGATAGGCCGTGTGGATAAACTTACACACCGGCCATATCGTAGAAACTTCTCAAATGGCCGTCCAATACGACCAATACAGCCACACACACTTTCGTGACTCGTATTTCCGTTTCCCTTGATATTGGCTCGTCTAGGCTTGACGATTTAATTGAGAGCAGAAACGGCTGCAATCTGAGACTATCTTGGGCAACTACCCTTGTTTGATTTACTAGGTGTGTATCGAACATCAACCTCCTCGGGAGGCTGCGCATTTTTGGTCCCATGGTGCTTAGTACTGTACATCCATTTACCTTACCGGCAGACATGCACAAGGCTTGTGACAGTGACATATCTGCGTAGCCTTAAACATAAAACGAAACTAAACGAAACGAAATCAAAGAAAAACATTAATGCTTTCGTTCGTGAACTTATAGTATAGACAGACATACAAGGTTTTCGAGACTGTAGATATGAAACGAAAGTAGTTGATCGATGAGACAATACCATGCTATGATAAACCCCCACTCATTATGATATTGAGGGAGGGGGAAAGCTTAAGTGCTTATCTATGTAATATTGGCGCCAGTAAAGATGAAAGATTAAACTAATCGATAACTTTATCCATATAGTACTCGGCGTATAGAAATATTGCGCCTCTTCATGATAAAACAATGTCACTGTGAACCCGACGAATCGGGATATTTCGTCTAGCCTTGCAGGACAAACATTGGAAATACCGTGACCCCATCCATGTATTTTGGGTTTCTGTATGAAGATTGTTAGAGATGGAGGAATACAACTGGTAACAATAAGACGCGACAATTGATAAGATTTTCGATTGTTATGGATGATGTAGTTGATTATTTTTGAGATTTTGAGTCTTTCGAGATCTAGAAACTCAAGGAGTGCGGCCGCTGGGCCCCCTCGTCTACCACCCCTAGCCTCCGACCTCCGATGGCTCTCCAAAGCTATCCAAAAATTATCCGAGGAAGATAATACAATCATAACTCTCCAAAGACATCAAAATGATATTTCCAGATCATTCCTTTGGAAGGTAAACAAATATCTTGAAGCCCTCTATTCTTCTTTTTCACCATATCAGCGAATCTACTATATCCCTTTTCCTGCATTCATTCTTAAGCTACCGCCCTTTTCCCCTCTTGTAACCTTGGGAACATCCATCTTTATCTTCAAATTCAACAACACAACACAGCACAGCACGCAATCTTCAACAACAACAATGGCACGAACCAAGAACGGAGTCCGGAAAACTTCAGCTGGAATAGAAAACCGAGATAATCCAAAGCGCAAACGCGAAGAAGCAGCCGGAGCAGAAGCCCCCTCTAAACGCAAAGGAGATTTCCCCTCCACCTTCCAAGAACAAGATCAAGATCGACCATCGAAAAAAGCAAAACCTGCTACCACCATTTCCCATCCTAGATCTCACCAAGCTCCCTCCACCACCTCCAGCGCGCAAGCTCAACCCGAAGACACCATTCCCTCCGCCTCCGCCTCCGCCTCAGCCCCAACCTCAAACCCGTCCACCCACCAAACACCTCCTCAAATTCTCCCTCCAATCGATCTAACCACCACCCACCAAACAACCCACCTCTCCATCCTCTCTTCCTCACACGTCCACAAGAAAGTCTCCCGCATCCTCTCTATCCTCAGTATCTTTTCCTTTTCGGATCCTTCTCCCCACGTCGTGCTTCTATCTGCCAAAGCACCCGTTGGATGCAAGCTCATTACCATTGCGGAGATTGCCAAGCGGGAGTTAGCGAAGAGTGGTTACAAGTGGTTTCAGTACAATGTTATTGGAGAGTTGAGTGCTACTATGCCGCATACTGCCACGATTGAGCCAAGGGGGATTGAGAATACAGAGGAAGATGTAAGAATGGAAGACGCCGACGAGGAGGGGGAAGCTTTCGAAACCATGAAGACACCCTTCGAAAGAGCACTTGAAGCAGAAAGAAGACCTAAGATTAAAGGTGTGGCTACTTTAACTCTCTATCTATCTCGAGTCAGAATTGAGAGTTTGAAGAAGATCTATGGGTATGTCTAACCGCTTAATCCGCACTCCTCTTTTTATAGTTTATTGATGGAGGATTTACAGAGAGCAAACTAATTCTTTGACTTGATCGAGTTCAATGGATGAACAGGGAAGAAGGCATAATATATGCTATGATGGAAGAGGGAATAATGGAATGGGCGGAACAAGACTAAAAGGAAATATGGCGTTTTTTGAAGGAAGGAAATATTCATAGTTGTGGATTGGAGATACCCAATACTTGCTTTTAGGGGTAGCAAGTTGGTAGCGATATCAGGGAAGATTCATACAATTAGCAGTGGACCAACACATGAGATAGAAGTTTTTTGAATTGCTAAATTCGATGCCAAATATAAATACATATATATGTTGTGCCGGCTATAGCTAGCTATCACTTCAAAGTGATAATATAATGATGCCTACTGGCTTTCCCAATCTAAATACTCTCCCAACCAGTTCAGTAGCTAATACCATTTTCCCAGAACCCGAATGTACATGCATAATGTGGATAGGCCGCTGGTTTCGCAGCAGTATATCTATCTATGCTTCTTCTCCAATCCAATTTTGACATTCTCCTTTGCCTTCAGCAAAAGTATCCTCCTCTCTCATCCCATTATCTCCTCCCAATTTTCCGCTTCTCCCACCCTGCAACCCTCTCACCCTCTCACCATTCATCCCCTTCCATTCCCACCACCTCTCTCCCCTATCTTCCCCCCACCCATCCCCCACCACCAACCTACTTCATACTCCCTACTTCCTCCCATAAACAATCCTCAAAATAAAATTCACCACCACCGCCACCAACAACACCAACGCCAAAATCGTCGGGCCCACCCGATCATCGAAACCCCCAGGTCCCCTCAATCGAATACTCTTGGCCCGCCAATGATACACATACAACGCATAAGCCATCGTCACCATCGATATCAAAGTAAATATCGACGCCGAGATAAAAGCAGGCTTGTCGCCAAAGTTCAACATGCCGACCGCGAGAGCCCCGAGTATCACCGTGAAGTTGAGCCAGGAGAGAAAGGTGCGCTCGTTGGCGAAGAATACTTTGGGTTCGACCCGTGTGGGGAGGGCGATGCGTTTTCCTGTGGGTGGCGAGGGAGGTGGTTAGTTATTGGGTTGGATTGGGTTGGATTGGGTAGGGGGTTGGAATTAGAGAGCTTGGGGAGGAATCGGGAATTGGAGGTTCTTGTGAGCGAGCATTAAGCTCATGCTCATGCCATCTTATAGGAAAGGCAAGCTCATGCCATTCCGCAGAAACTCGCACAGGAAAGATTGAGAAGAACATACCAGGCGCCGTTTGAAGAAGAGGTTGGCTCGACATCTTGAAATAAAAATTCTGTGTGCGAATTTGTGTGTGAGAGGTATGACGACCAGGAGTAAATGTCTTAGACAACTGCTTGCTTCCGATTAGATCAGATCAATTCGATTCGATTCAAATCGCACAAGGTCGTACAAGACTGTTCTTGAAAATCTTCGTGGTGCTCAATTGATTTGATTGGTAGGTAATTGAATTTTTTTATTTTGAAAAATTATAATTATTTGATTCGGATGGTTGGTTGTAGGGTAGAGAAACTGGGAATACTTGAATAGGTAAGTTGCATGTCACTTCATTTCATCTAGCCTGTAGACTGGATGCCCCACTCTACTCCACACACGTTTATACCGGTGTGGTTTTATTGGTCGATGCTTGTAGCTTTGAAGTACTGAGAGGGTTGACTAATCACCGAGGCTATTAACGGTGAAGTGCATCGCTAAACGATGCACGTGATGCACCTTACTATATAGTTCGTCGCTTTCAGGGGAGATCTCTTTCTTCCCTACGCATAATAATCATTCTATATTCTAGAGTGTTTACTACGCTGTCACTCTGGCCGGCCTCATAGAGGTTCCACCTCTGAATGTCCTCACTTCCTGTGATTCTACGCACCACTAGTGGCTAACCAACACTAACCATCCGAGACCCCTCTTGACAAAAGACCAATACATTTCCGAGTCCTCACAGGATAATTATGTAAACGTCGTCGATCTCCCGCTCATAAAGAATCAAACTTGGTATTCTTGCTACACCTCCTTCTAAAATACACAGAACAGTGTCTCTGGCTGTGTAAGCAAGATTAATTCGGGAATAATCTGCACAGAATCAAAGCAAAAATATAGGCCTTTTCCAAAAATGGGAGCAAGCTCTGCATGAATTCTTCATGAAGTCCTTCACCGCGCTCCTCTGAAACAGTTTCGATTGATGACACGGGTTTTGCCGCCAATCAAGACTACCTGAACGAGTTCATGGCGTTCAATCTCTCGTTCAATAGTCGATGCATACATACCATCTCCATGGGCTAGAGGCACATACTGATCTGTTCGGCCAACAATCTTCCATAATCCCTTGCGAGGAGGATACTCACTCCAAAGATCGTTTATCTCAAAACAGTTTCGGTCAAGATACAAGAGGAACATTTGCTGTACAATCGGGCTTACAGCCAAACACCAATTTGTGCAGATTATCGCGTCGTGGCTTGAACTTGACACCAGTTTTTGTATGGAATTCGATATAGTCCCAGTCTTCCGTGTTGTGTTGTAACAAAGTTTTAGAAAGTATTCGTTTACTGGTACTTTAGTGCTGCTAATGCAGAGAATCAATTTAGCGTCCAATAATAGCTTCTTGTTGTTGTAAACACCTAGGGGGAGTCAGTGTGATGTATATACTGGAGATTCCTTAACACGGCTAGGCCCGACTCCCAAGGGGTCCCGACATAGCGTATCGATGGCAGCGGGAGCAAGGAGGGTACCGTCGATGCGATCAAATTTCAAGAATATTAACAAGTCTCTCCAGTTAAGAGGGCTTCGATGATCCCAGGACAATGATCGTGTGAACGAAAGTATTCAAAGACAAGACCATAAGCATTCCAACAATCTGTAAACAAATGTGAGCTTCAACATGAATAATTGAGCGCTCGAGAAACATGCTCTAGTTGATTTACATGTATCATTGGCAAAGGATGCACCATCTCTTAGAAGTATATTGATAAAGATATGTTTCTTCATTACCCGTCAACTTCGCAACTATATCTAGAATTGCCATCATCCAATGCGTATATATGATGTACTTTGGACATCCTAAAAAAAAAGCTTAATCAAAAGTTTCTCTTTCAAAATGAGAGCCATGTGATTTATTGACTTACCTGTAATTCCTGAAGTATGGAAAGTTAACCAAGGATTCTTCCACTCTTCCCACGACTTTTAGACCTGACCAACATAAGCAAAAGACTGAACAGGCTCTTGTGAAAGGAAGATAGATGTTAAAGCAAACAGTGCGCAGCGTAAAATTTGATGACGTTTGTAAACAGGCTGTATATGATATCTCTGAATCATTCAGAGATATCTTCATCGTCTTCATCGTCTACTGATACAGAGACCCACCCAAGGACTTTGCTTTGGACATCTGATTGGGCCGCTCATCGAGTATAGAAATAGCAAGGTGTTCTCTATACTTTACCCCAGGGAGAGGAAGCGGCAGAGTGTTAGTCATGAGACTGATACGACTAATGAGATGGTAGGTAGAATATGGTGAGATTTGGGTACAATTGTCAATTCTTAGATGAGAGAAGGGAGGTTTAAGATAGACAGACTTGCGGATAAGGTAGAGTAAGCCTCAGTAAGGTTAACCACTAACAAACTTTATGTCTAGTTTCCACATGTGATTGTAGATGAAAATGATTGTTTGCCCGGATCAATAATAGGGTTGATGATTTATAACACCAGGACTGATATTCTATTCATACCGCAGCCCAAGAAGACCTTCTTTTGGCACACTAGCATATTTTTATTGAATGTAATTCTACTACTCATATAAATAATCCAATCCACATGTACTCGAGTACATTCCGATAGAACCTCTTTGCATAAGGGGAACTTCCCCAAGGCAATCACTTCAACTATAAAGAAAGCTCGATAATTTATGCAAACAGTTGATTGTATGATTTGTATGCAATATATAGAAATCATCAATCTTGCAATGAGTTGCAGTTTTTTATCTAATTTTATAACTGAAGATTCAAATGTATCTGGAATGTTCAAAGCTACTGATATTTATATATCAGCATTACAAGCGGAGCTTGGCTTTCCAGCGAATCCTGCAATCATAATCAGACAGCAGAATTGAGAAATCAGGCATTGAACTCTCTTGCGTTTATTTCTGCACGCTACACGCACCGAACGAAGCATTGATATACTTATCGAGATGGCAGCTGCACATCTCCTTACTGTCTGTCAGGTCTTGAAAATATATGTGATTCATTCACAATATCTGGATACCTACCGTCCAAAGTCTTCTACCATGATAGCAAAAATATTTCAGAAACGCCCCATTCTCACTTCTGAGATCCGTGTCGAGATACATCATCTAAAAAAGATTTTGTGGGAGCAGCTGTTGATAGGTTTCGAAGCCACAGTCCACATGGGGGGATGCTAAAACCCGGTTTAAGTCTATTTCCAAATCGATGCGGGCAGCGGGCTTCGTTTGTTGATCATCAAAACTTTGAGACTTTATCCAGATTGTTTCAAGAGGTGGAAAGCTTTGCAGAGACGTTGGCTCTATCTCTTCGAGATTCGCGGTGCTTCTTCCGAGATGTATAACTTCTGCATGGAGATGCGAGTGCCGAAATTGGGCGGGCTTTTAGGCAGAGTTGTGGCTTCATCCGCTATTTAATGGGAATTCCATTTTTGAGTGCATCGATGATATATAAGCCAAAGTCTACAGATTTTCATGTCGGATGCTTGGCAAACAAAAATAAGAGCCGACTGTAGGGTCTTATACCAGCTTAGTCTACCGCTGCTTGTGAGGTTGCACTTTTTCGAAGGTTGTGATGAGTATTCTGGATGAAATCTCCGTCCTTACGCACTCATCGGCATAATCACGATCGACGAAAGGCAAGATATGTGTGCTCCTTTCGACCGCATGCATAGTGAAGTTGATGCAAAAGCATCTTCAGAGTATTTGGTAGATATTTCATTCCCTAATCAAACACTTGTTTATTGAAGTTTGGAGAGACCATACATCCTCGTGGAACCAAACGGTCATATATTCCACACTACACGTGCTTACTCGTTCACTCGAACAGAGGATAGCTAAAGCCTCGGCAGGTTTCAGGGTACCAATTCAGGTTTTATTGGCTCTAGAAAACGTACCAAATTGCCGTGTGATGAGTTGTATTCCAATCGCCACTTACGAAAAGTACATATACGGAGTATCTGGATGGCAGACTGCTCCAACCAAGGTGCTAGTGGTTTGTTGAATGAAAACATGCTGGGCGATGACCGTTCGTGGTGAGCTAAAATCCCATATCGATTCTGATACTCACTGTCTGCATTTAGCTTGCTGATTCGACCACTCTCGCGATTTACTTCAAATAGTCAACCACTTTCGGAATGAGATGCCACGTGCCCATGTCGGGTTAGCACGCAGTATAAGGTGTGCACAACTGTGGGCTTATGAACACAGACGACCTACACGTGCTGAGATTTTTAGTATAAATTATCCATTATGCATCCACGACTGATCTGATGTCTACACTTATCCTGTACGAGCCTGTGACAATGATCTCGGGATCAAGAGATGGCAGCCAAACCTAGCTCTCATGTCGTCAATACGACACGACCTTTGGGAATCTCGCGAAAAGGCTGAAAGCTACTTTCGCAGAGGCCTGTAGAACATGGGATCCACGGACCATAGAGCTTTATCTGAAGTATGGCTTGAGGGATATCCCTACAGCTCTCTATGACTCCACCTCGGACAGTTTTGCAAGAACTATACACAACGCAGTTTCGAGCCACAGGAGGCGGGATTAGATCGAGTCCTGCTTCCTGACTGGGACGAAGACCTCGATGTACCCATGATGTACTCGAGTACACCCGCACTGAGTGTAGTACCACAATGAGAAATATTCCTTATCTTCGCCCGAGTGTTCTCTACTCTACGTATTTCGTGCCAGAAGTTCATTATCTTCCGGAACCTACCTCTTAGGAGGAAAAGATGAAGCTCACTGGCTCTGGGGTAGACGGAAGTGGAAGTGGGGGTGCTGATTTTATTTTAGATAGCTTTTTTTTCCAGTAAAGTATTTTTGATGAATAGTTTTAAAATTTTATGTTATCAATTTCTGATAGATATTTATATACTAAAGAGTTAGACTGGATTATACACAAATAATAATGGCCTTATCGCTTAGGCTTAAATCCCGATAACAGGTAGCTCCTTATTGTTTGACTTTCTTTGAGGTTGGGGTAAACCACCACTAAAAGAAAGCAGGCCTCATAATCATAATAAACGGAAAGCTTCAATCACATTAAGATTTCATATCGCAAGATAATTTGAGTACTATACTATTGCATCATATACAGAAGAGAAAAGTAAATATGGCGACACCGGTATGTTTGTATTCTAATGTTGTGAATGAAGATGACTGATGTTTGTTGAATTAGCCCATTTCATACACAAGGTTGAAGCAAATCGCAAATGATGTGAGTTTGCTGGATAAATATCTGCCCGCCAACATAGATTTTGTTGGTGATGTTTTTGGCTGGATGGTATACTGAGAATTGAATCAACAGGCATGTCAGAATGCCCTTGGAAGTGCAGACTTCTATGAACATACCAAGACGGAATCTTGGAACACTACAATCATTGTATGTACAGCCTTCCTTCACACTCAGACGACAAGCCCGCACAACACAGCAACTAACTATCCACGCACCAGAACTCGATCCTCAAATCCCTAATTTCGGAATCGACTCCTTCATCCGGTGGTTCCCCCTCCTTTAAATACGCAGTCAACAGCACCATCATCCAACATCTCGTTCCCACCTCCTCGCTCAACAAATCGAAAGCCGTACCCCCGACTTCTTCGGCTGAGACGGAGGAAAAAGACGATGCCAAAATAACAACGAGTGATGCGAAGGGAGACGCGAAGAGTACAGAGGGGAAACCTCATGTGGGAAGGAGGGGAATGCATAGTGCGACGGGTGCTTATTGGAATGAAAAGACGGATGGCATGTGGAGTTTTAAATATGAGGGGGGTGAGGGGAAGGGGTTGGATGTGGTGATTAGTGTTATTTGGATTGCGTTGTAAGGAGGGTTATGATGGTGGGATGGAGGTCGGTTGGGGAATATGATGGACAGGATTGCTAATTCTATTGGAGGATATAATGGTCAAGGACAATATATCGAAGGTAGGCCATGGATACATGGTTACACATATTGTGTGGGGAGGAGAATGGGGGATGTGCATTGATCGAGTATGGGGTATGGGGTATACAATTCGCAGACTTTGCGCTCCAGTCGCAATCATTTTCATGGGATTTGATCGACCGAACCTGTTGGTTGAAGAATATCTGACAGCAGAGGAGTTTTAATGATACATATTCAATGATCTTTGGCAGTCATGCCCGTCATGCCAGTCGATCGTATCATTTCACTGTTAGCTTTTCGTATTTAGCCATATTGTGAAGTTGGGGTACGTATCTGATGTCACTGTCACTATCGGGTGGTTAATTGCTCGATATGATATGTTCTTACTCATCAACATCATGACAACCTTTTGTGTGAGCCGACTTTATTTGCATAACAACATAAGAAATCAGAACCCTGGTTTACACACACCAAGATAAAAGATGGGTTCGATTTCGATTTCGAGATATCTCTTGGTTGACAACAAAGTACACCTCATATGTACTGTAAATACCTACCCTTTCGAAAAGAATGGTTAGCTTGGACAAGTGTCGGTGAGGCCTCACAATACCGGAGTCGTATTGCCTTGCGAATCATATACTCATACATCTCTCGTCCCTTTTGATATGGTTAATTGTCACTCTAAACCGTGTTTTCCCATACATTTCCAGTTAGAAAATACTCAAAGTCAAAGATACAACCAATATTATACAAATATCATTACCCTCCCTCGAACCCCTAATATTACCTAAGCACAATCGAGTCATGATTCATGAATCGAATCATGAAAGCGCACAATTCCTCAATTCCTCCAGTCACCAGTGGGAGCTTCGGATCAAATTACCATGTCGAGGCTACGATCCGTTTCTTAGTGAGATCAATAGTGGGTCGAGTAGTGGGTGGGTCGGTGGGTGCACTGGGTTGGTGAAGAAAACTTTTGAATTTTGAGTTTTGGGTGGGAAAAAGAGAAAAAGAGGGACAAAAGAGACAAAGTCACAAAAGAGAAAGGGAAGGGAAACCTGGGAAGGGGCGAATTTTAAGCAGAGCTCCGGTTTTCTTTTTATCGCGGGATGAGTTGTGGTTAGGTTATGGGTTGGTCCTAGTTATGTCCTGATTAGGTCCTGGTTAGGTGTGTTCCGGATTAGTTTGGCGTGTGGGAGACTCCGGGGTTGGCACTTGGGAGGGTGGATTAAATTGGATTGGATTGGATATATTTGGGTGTTGATGTTGGGTTTTTGAGGTTTGATATTGTTGATATTGATATTGATATTGGGTTTTGACTTGGATTTCAACTTGGATATTATATGTATATGTATATGTATATGTATATGTATATAACGACGACAGATTACGATATCACGATTATACGACGAGACGGAATTCGAGACGAGAGTTGTATGTATTGTATATGAAAGGACGGTGTCATTTGTATATATTGGACGATACGACGATTCATAATCATACCATATACGACTGTACTTGTATATATCGATCGATATAGGATTCACGATCGATACAGGATTCACTTCACGGATCTAATTACGATTTAAGGATTTCATATTCGATACGATAGGGGCAATTGCGAGAGAATTAGAATCACGAGATATACCGTAGAGGTATTTAACGTACCGTCGCCACGGAGCGGTTATAATTAGGGGTTATCTTAGCAGTATAAATAAGTGAGTCAATCTTTTAACAAACTGGATTGTTTACTGACTCATTTACTAGACAATACCCATTTCTGAATCATCAATCCTTTAAAGGATTGAGATACTTTTAGTTCAGATTCATCAATATCATCGGGCAACTGTATAGGAGAACACATTCAGTTCAGATTCATCAGCACCATCGAATCGAGCAAACCTGTATAGGAGAATACATAAATCCTACCCATCAAACGATCCAAGAGAATCATACCTATCTATTACTCCATATCTTGAAAGAATTCACCATGTCTCCCCACACTTCTCCATTCACCTCGACCCCAAACTCGGACCCCTCTTCCTCTGACATGGCCCTAGAATCCATGCTCCGAGACCTCATGACTTCTTCCACATTCACTACTCCTACTACACCGTCCCGATTCGGTTTGGATTCCCCTGCTTCACACACTGCAGACTATGAATCACTCTCCAATACCGATACCGAAATTTCCTCTGATTCTGATTCGGAAGATGTTGATGCTGATGCTGATGCGGATATCGATATGGAAGAAGAAGAAGAAGAAGAAGAAGGAAAATGGACATTCGAAGTCACACCTGAGATAACTCGACGGCTCTCCATTGTTCCCAGTCCCGAAATCACTCGAAGATTAAGTATCGTCCCCATGTCCATGCCTTCCCATCTACTCCAAGCATCTCTATCTCTATCGCAAGCCATGGATGAAAAAGAAGAAGGATCAGAAGAAGACGACGCAACACCAGAAGAAGAAGAAGAGAAAATCACACTCCCGACTCTCCCCAATGAACTCAAACTCGAAATTTTCTCGCACCTCGACCCCATCGATGCAACCTGTCTAGCCCTCACCTCCCGTCACACCTATCTTATCTACCGCGCAATACACGGTACAGCGCTCCCGCTCAACACGCGACGCGTAGGTCCCAATGAGCTCGAATACGCCTTTACGAAGGAGGAGGCGCGGATGTGTAGTTTTTGTGGAAAGGGTAGGTGTGAGCTCTGGAGACACATTAGGGGGTTTATGGAGGGAGGGGTATGCGAAAGAGAGTATTGTGGGATGAAGGGGAATTTTGGGGGGAAGGGGAGAGGGGGGAGAGAGGGAATAGAGGTGGTGGGCTGTTGGAGGGGTAAACCGAGTAAGCCGAGGAGATGTGGGAGGCATCCGGAACGTACGACGACGGTTAGGGTGGAGGATGGAGGGGAGAATTTGGAGAGGATTATTGCGCAGGCTAGGGCGGCGGTGGGTGTTTAACTGTCAGCCTGTAAGGTAAGGGAGGTTGGGAGAAATAGATATCGGTATGTAGGCGGAGTGAGGAGAGGTGAGGTGTGAGGTCGCAGATTGTATATTTTAAGGCCTGGCCTGTCCTGGGGTGGCGGTAAAGATATTAAGAGTCTATATGACATGACGTATTTCAGATCGATTCCCAGATTTAAATATTCGATGCTTTGGCGTTGTTGCACTGTTTAGATTGTTTTTTTGTACATACGAGTAGTTTACATTATTTCGATGGAGAAACACAAGCAGAGTAGCTATTTGCATATATGTACTCTATATATGTATGTATGTATGTACGATATTGCGAGTTGCGAGTTGCGAGTAAACACAAACAACAAACAACAAACAATAAATTTCTAGAAACCAGGAATCAGAACTCTTTTGAGTTTTCTACTTTGGTGGTTGATGATTGGATATATTCGAGTCGAGGTTTTCTTTTTTCTTTTTCTTTGGGTTTTTTGCATTTGATATCTGTAGTTAGTAAGTGGGATGGATCATGATGAATGGATGGGTAAATAGATACCAAGATACGTTTATTTCTTATATTTTTGAGATTCGGAAGACTTTTTATTGGGGGGAGTATGTGATGTGATATTGAGATAAATGGTATCTTGGAGTTTAAGCGTTAGAGTTCAGGATTTGAGAATGCGAGTAGATTCTGAGAGGAGATGCTGCGAGTAAAAGCTGCAAATAGAAACAATAAGTAGGAGTTATAAACTAATCACAAATTCCGCAAAGTTGGTAGATAGCAGGAAGAATTATATTAGGGGCTGCTATGACTGAACTTGTTTTCATTCGATTGGGAATATTTATAGTGGTTTTGAGTCTTCGTGGATGAATCGAGGATTGACGATGAGATTAACATACTCGAGTATATTTTCATGTTTGATGATTGAGGACTCAGACAATATCTCATTATGTTCCATATTCATGAAGAAAAGGAGATAGAAGAGAAACAGAAGGATTGGCCAGGCGAAAAGAAAAGTAGAAGGGGGTGGGAAGAGTAGTAGAGCATGAAGGAAGTGCTCGTGGACTACCTATCACGTAGAGTGTAGGAAGGAATCGGAGGATATAATTGCAAAACTTGGACAATCAGAAAGTTAATCAAATACTTGATTGTAAGTCTTACACATCTGCAGCGATATTACAGGCAATAGTGTCGAGCTACTCTCGGCCATTTGTGGACAACTTACTTAAAAGTCCAAGGTAAAATGTCATCCGACGCCTTAAAACCCGACACCCACATTCAAGCATTGTGGTAAAGTCGAGCTAGGCCCCTCAGGTGAGTACTGGTGAAGGAACTCAGAGAAATAAATCAAATGATGGCCCCCCGGGAAGTGCCATCTCGCAGAGATCGCCAGAGAACTTAGGAAGTACCTCCTCAGGTACCATCCTCCTTCAACACGATAGTCATTCTCACTATTGCCTACCTAACACATTTGTATCTTCCTCCTTCAGCATCGCAGTATGAGGCTCTGAAATAGGTTGAAACTTGAGCAAAACATGATGTGTATCAAACTAAAGCAAATCCTATCCAGCACATATAACCAATCAACTTTCTGAACCCACTTGCATAGACTCAAACTTCCTAAAGAATACTCTTATCAGAACACTCGACTCTGATGTAAATCTCGCAGATCTAATTCTTGCTTGCCATCTAACTTCCAAGTAACTTCCAACATCTTCATCAAACCACTCTCAGTCACAAGAGGTTCATTTTCGAACTTCCCATCTGGGCTGACGATGCAACTCTAAAAGTCGCAGAGTTTCACGTTTAGGTCGTCATCCAGTAGAGCATTGTTGGCCTTGAGATCGCAATGGATGACTCCTTTATCGTAAATGTGTTCCACAGCTTCACAGAACTGGTAAACCCAATGAAACCGTTGTTGAATAGTTGTTTCATACTCAGAAAGATATTCGCCCAATGAACCGCCCGTAGCACGCTCCATCAAGATTGATTCTCCTTGACGTCCTTTGAATCCAATGATCCACAGATGGGATCCAATGATTTCAAAAACTTGAGCTTCACGGTCGAATGATTCTTTTGCGAACTTATCATCTTTGATTCGCGCATACTTCAATACTATGTTCTGATCCACAAGACCAATAAAACATATACCTCCAATAGCTAAGAATTCCTTTACTCCCTCGGATTGATAATATATAATCTCAATCGCGTCGTTAGAAAGCTCATACATAGTGAAAGAGATTGATTGTGAATTGTTAAGCTTGATATTTGTATAGTGCAGTTTAGAGATAAAATGAAAAAAGCGATCAATCAGAAGAAGTAATTCATATAATGTTCTAAAGCTTACTAGCCCAGAGTATATATAATAACAAAGCTACACTTAAAATTACTATAATATTGATTAGACAGGTTAGGACTTGAAATGCAGTAATCCTTGTACACATTCCCCCTTATACATTACATTATCGACCAACTGGATTTAGCAAGGGATATGAGACATCACATATACTATATTTATCGCCTGAAAGAATACACCGAAAGCAATCAAATCCTCCATATCATTGATATCAAACAAAACATAATTCTCAAAACCCTCCCTATCAATCCATATCTTCGAACTTCCCACAAGCTCGAACTTTCCATTCCGACCTATATCTAAGAAAATACTGTTAGAGATCATGGATTAATTAGTTTTAGCTAATGTACATACAGAATGTCTCGGTGCCTAGCATTTTGTGCAAATCCCCGAATAAAGGGTTGTAATGCCTATATACTTGCCCACCGCTGCAGAGTAACCCAGTTCCATGGCTTTGTTGCAGAGCAACAGACAATAAGTTATGATAATATGCTTTGGTGTCGCAATACAGTTTCTGTATTTCTGGGTGCAAACAAGGCGTTTGCAGCATTCCGGCATAGTCGTAAACAGATATTTGATATAGAGTGATGATGATCCTGATAAATAGTTTTTGAGGATGATTATTGTTGAAGATTTGATACTGACATACTGTAGCCAAAGGTTGGATCTAGGGCATGTTATATTACCTTACGGACAATCATGCCGAAACAAATTACATATGTTAACGCCCAGATATTGTGTGACTCAAACCTGTACATTATATGAAATATGCACATGAATTTATCCATAAGCGATCATCCCCTGCTTGAAAGACCACCTATCAATCGCTATGTTTTCCCTACACGGTCTGGCTTGCATCGCTGCAATAAGTTCTCGATTATTCCATTGCTGTTTCCGTGCCGTTTCTTTTCCAAGTCACTACTATTAGCAATCTATATCTCTACTCGAGATTCGAGTAGTTGTGCCTTAGAACTATCTTCTGTTCTTCTGTAGCTAGATACAGGAAAGTCGAAGTAAAGACTGATATATGTTCTATTAAATTCTCAACCCAAATACCGACCCCTATACCATCAAACTTATCTACTTCGTACTAGACGAAAGTAAGAAACTAACAGTTGGTAATAGAACTGCTGCCTAGACTTGCGAAGATTTATTGGAGGACATATGCTTTTGAAGACAGACAGTATAGAAAAAGGAGTGAATCATATGATTGATCTCTTGGTATTGTTGAAGATATAAACTGAATTATTTAACTATTGGCAGCTGTCTCGCCGGCAGAGTGGTTAATCATTCAGCTATAAGCGTAAGTCATTAAGCTAGAGATTCAAAATATCATCAGCTATTCAGCGGGGAAATATTCCAATTGATACTTGGTTTATGAATTAAAAGAAAATAAGATTTGAGGTATTTTGAAATGGATTTGAGGTATTTTTGGAGACATTTTGAAAGACGAGAAGGTGATATCGAAGAGGGAATATTGGAAGGAGAAAAGGGTAAAGGAGAGGGAGGTAGTATCGAAGAGGGATGATATCGAAAGGAAAGGTAGTATTGAAGGAGGAGGGTATCAAAGGGGGAGTATTTATTACTATACAATAATCATATGTCAACTGATCAGCAATTGATCAGCGATATCAGCCATTCAGCGGCGACTACGATATATTGTCAGCTATTCAGTTGGGAATTGAGGGTTCGCTGATCGCTGATCGCTGACTGACTGACTGATTGGCCACTCTGATCGCCGGGCTAGGCAGCTATAAAGTTCCAGCGCACAATGTAAGAAACTGAGAGAATTGAGAGTATCGATGGGTTTCTTACTACAAAATGCAGGAGAAAGACAAAAATAGATCCTCCACAGGATGTAGACATAGAGAATGTAGTGTAATAGTAATACATTGTGTTAACATCAAGTGTTTTTAAGCTGAACTAATTTTCCCCTTTATTTACTTCGGTTAGCTTCTCTAGCTTCTCTCTTTCTTGCTATTACCCCACTTCTCTATCAGCAACCACTTTTAGCTTCTAATCATTACTTAGGCCAGTACTTGGAGGAATTTTTTTATTTTCTGATGATGATGATATTTTTATAGATTGTTAATCTCATTTAGGGGACATTATTATACAGTAAAGCATATTGAGCAGTTGTAGAAACACAGATTGAAGTATATACGATTTTACCCCGCAATACATGTTGTGCGTTACACCACTGGGAATCGGTAATTGAACCTGGGACCACTGTACCCGCTCAAAATGGGTAAGGATGGATTTGGGGGTGCTTGGGGTGCGCAGGTACAACCTAGATATATGCGCTAAGATTTGAATCTTGGAAAGGGAAGAAAGAGAAGAGGACAGAGGAAGAAAGAGAAGGAGAGTATTGAAAGGTGAGATAAGACTTACTATGAATAGAACAAGCGTATAGACAAGCATATCCACACAGTCCGCCTGTATCGAATCGCCAACACCAGTTCCACTGACATAGGCGGGAGAAATGGGCTTGAGATGATTATGGGGGTAGAACATCAAGGATGATACATTTACCGGTAGCAAATAAAGGAGCAAAGCCCTTCACACCAGTACTCTAAAGTTATATATTGGCAGAATGGCCAATAGAACCCAAAGGCTAAAGCCGATGTAACCGTTGTCACCAGCTGGCTCGATGGTAAGCACGTTGTCTCACACAAATACTTCAAAAGATGTCCAAGAAAATAGGGTATAATTTTCAGTGATATATTTTGAAAGATTTGACACTCTTTAACTTCTTTTATCACCAAGATATATTTTGTTCGGGATCTTTGATCCAGTAGAAAAAAAGTCCTATAAACATCCAAAAAAAATATTTAATATACAAAATAATAATCTTTGGTTTTCAACTTTTACCCTATTAAATAGTTTATATGATATCTCAATATCAAGACATATAATAACTCACAAATCATTTCTTGAAATTCGACGATGTCACCGTGACCATCAATAACAAACAGCATTATATTATCGTATATCGCGGCGTCCAAACTATAAACTATCAACCTTCAATACGGTTGGACTTTGCCATTTGCCGTTCTTCGAGACAATAGATCAGGGCTTGAGCTTCTCAACGTTGGCTTATGATTCAATGAATCATCCTTGACCTTATGGCCGGAAGTGACTTTGTCTAATGGCAATATGGAGTATTGTGGCGTAAAAATTGTCCATCCACTGGCGCATATGCCTTGGTTGGAAAGACCGACGCACAAGCAAAAGAACATAGGGCTGCAGAATCATCAAATCTCACTTGACTTTTGGCAAGGAACACAGGTCATACATGTGTCAAATTCAACACAATTGTACAAGGAGCGCAGTGAAAGAGATCTAAGTAATATCTGGAACCAGCCAGTATCTTCTGATATTTATTGTTAAGGAGAGGCTATACATAACGAGTACATAATAAAATAATCATACAAACAAACGAAATGTACCAAAGAAAAATAGACAATTCATCCTCCGCCATTTGAGTTCTCCACTTGTGCTCAGTTCCCAGGGCCATCGTACATGATACCCCAACCAACAAAAGAAGAAAGGCAGCAGGAAAGAAGCGAGGAGTTCGGTTTGAGTCGTTGTGCCCTGAGAGGGAAGCTATCGGAGTAACCTGTGAAACCTAATCTCCCTGAGCTACAAGGAAGAGACAAAAGCTCATCACTTAAATCCAAACGCAGCCGCTACCCTCTTGACCACAGAACATCTACAAGTAAAAACAATTTGATCAGCAAGTAGTCTTAATTTCTCCCAAGAGGAAGACGAGAGGCCCGAACACAGGGTGCGTATCATGCCAATAGCAACTGAGCAGCAATAGGTAAAAAGAAACTTACGACACTGGTGGAACTGCCGGGGCAAACCCAAACATCACAATCTCCCTTCGCCTTCTGGCCATCGCAGCGACACGTAGTCTTCGCGCCGACAATCGAGCCGCCGAAGCAGGCCGGTAGGACAGTATCGCAGGTATCACGTGCCTTGAGAGCAGGTGTTTCGAGCTCAGGTGCCCCGAGATTGCTGGGCATGGCGAGGGCGCCGATGGCGAAAATGGCGAAGACTGGGATGGTAAAGAATTGCATTTTGGGAGAGTTGTGTTGTGCGGTTGACGATGTTTGGAGTTTGGCGATGTTGAAAGTCTGACGATTTTGTAAGTCTGGTGATGCGAGGAGTCTGGCGGTCTTGTTGTGCTGTGTGTTGTGTTGTGGTTTGTGTTGTGTTGTTGTGTAGATGTGTGAGTGAGTTGTTGATGGAGAATGGAACCAGAAAGGTCTTATCTCGGGGTTTATATAGTTATATTTTCCCCTGAGGTCCTTCTTGTCGCCATCACTTGCCTTTCTTTTCATGAATGAGAAATCCTGGGGTGCAGTAGGATTTTCCGCCTCATACTACCTACGTACAGTATTCTCTTTGAACTCTGTATGTTTAGGAAGTAAATTTCGTACATTCTCGTGTTATTTACTTGGCTTTCACGTAACGACTATAAATTCGAATCGCCATATATACAGAAACTGGATCAAACCCGAGGTCGGCGCTTACTTAACAAACGCAGTGTAGCGCAATCCGTCCTGCCAAGATTAAAGTGGGCAACGTCAGGGCGGTTACAATAGTGGGCAACCAACAGGCAGGGCGGCTAATTATGGTGAACTATGACTAGTAATAATTCCGTGTTGAACAGTTCCACATAATCATCTAAACCTTTAGCCAAAGTTTGAGGAGGGGAACAATTGTTGCATTTCGGTATCAAGCACAATTCGTGCCCCATTAGAAGGCAAACGACCCCTCAACTAAACACTAGTCCACCACATCGCAAACCTTAGCATTAAAAGGACATATTGTAGCGGCACACGCCGGTCCTGTAGCATAAAGTCGAAAGTCCCTTCCTTGTTGGATTTGACATCAATTAATTTACGTGATAGACCAACAGTGGCTGTACAGGTTCATGGAATGACTTGTAAAGTTAAAACTTAAATGCAACGACACTTTTGATAACCTTCTTCGTACGCGCTAAAACTTGATGGGATGATTCATAAACTGTGGCTAAATTTCACATATTATTACTTTTATATCATTTTCCATATGACTGATTGCCCAGTAGTGCCGTACCCGCATCCGCTGCATTATAAATTTGATGATCCCTCTCCTCCAAATAGGGCCAAACCTGATGAGACAACCAGACCGTTCATCTTTCGATACCTTTTGAGCTTACTTTGAAAGATAAGGTTGACTAAACCTTTGTATTGTTTTATGCTTTTAGCCACTCAAGTGATAGGCTAGCGAATTCAAGTAAATGGAGTTCCGGAGGGCAATCTCAGAGATAACACGAATTTCTGAAAAGCATTTCCTAGACGAAAGGATGCGGTAGAGTGTGGTAGATGGGAACCATAACATAACACTACTGACTTTGGAGATGTAAAGAAATAACATCAATAATTGGACTTTATGTATGAAGAATCAAGCATGTAAGAGATGCAGTCACTGTACCGATAATTCACTTGAACATAATACTTCCATCCTGCCGAAACAGGACTCCAACGACTTCCCAATCCGAAAGGAAACTTCCTCGAGATCGCCGGCAAGGCAAAATTAGTGTCATGGTCAGGTTCTTGACTTCGGTTGCAATCAACTTGAAAGTCGATACAATGTGCCGCATTGCCTTATTACTTGACGTGATTTACTTCCATTTATGTGTTTTCGTGTTGGTGGCTTGCCTTCTCTTGTGATGAAGATACAATGAGCGAACAGACAGTCCAGAAAGGTCGCTCGAATTGTAGTTGTAGAAGCTTGAATTATCAGGGGCAGAACACCTATATCCTTCGTTCTAGTTTCCATCTACTTGGCCTAACTCGATGCAACCGTAGTAGATATCATCCTTTCTTTCATGTATGCCGGGTTCAATATCACAAGATCATGATATTGTGCATCTATCTTGACCGAGAGATCTCCTTCGGACGTACGGATAGAGTCCTCGATTAATCTGGGCCAGAAATGATCTTTACCTCGGTGAAATCATTGTCGATTCCTGTGCAGACAGTCAATGAGCTCTGTGGTTTGCTTGCGGAATTCAAGTCAAGTGATGATCGGCCTTTCTTCCCTTTTCTTGTTCATAAAGTTATGCGGCTGCTAGATTTGTTCCTAGATTTGCTGCTGTGAATTCGAATGATAGTCATAGCATAGGGAGTAAACTGACTTTGCTCGATCTATGAGAATAACTATGGGATTATTGCGGAGCTGAGGGCTCCATTTGGGTATATAGCAAGAGAAAGGAAATATGGAGTTATCACTTCATCATCTGCAAATGCTCTGCTCGGGAAAATACTCACACCTTCATCTCCTCTCTTCCTCGTCGTCGTTCTATCACTCGAATACCCCCAAATCACCTTCCCCATTCTCCAAATCCTCATCACCACCTTTTCTCGTTCTAAGTTCTTCCATCAACTCTCTGTTTTTCATCTCAAGTTGTTCAATTCGTTCTTCGAGCCCATCCATTTGTTCCTGTGCACCAACGCTGAATTCTTCGATGATTTTGAAGAAACGCCAGAGACGGAGGATGATGACAAGAGAGGCGACTTCTTCGAGGACACCGTGGAGTAGTACATCGACTAGATGGGAATGGAATCAGTCTAAAGATGAGGGCGGGGCAGAAGAGAGGTGAAGGATGAAAAGGTGTGATGAGGTTGAAAGGGATCTAAAAATGTGTACATACCAATGAACCCGGCAAGAATCACAGCGGCATCAAAGCAGTGGAATTTACTACGGAAATAGCTGAGGGGGCTTTGTTAGCTTTGAGTAACGAAAGATAGAAGGGATAGTGTGATCGGAAAAGCAGACTAAAGGGAAATCGGATGGTAGTAACATATAAATAAGATGTAAGAATAATGAACCGTTAGGGAAGCAGTGATTAGTAATAGGAGGCGGCGAGAACTTGGCGGCCGGATTTACTGAGCAGCAGCAGATCGAGTCGAGCTCCAGAAGCGAGGTAAATTCCCCAACCCGTCAACAAGCAACTTGTTTGTCTTCGGACATTGGGGCTCCGTATTGATCTCTTCTGTACATAGTACAGTATCCGAGAAAAGGAAAGAAACCGTCAAGAATACGTACCTCCAACCAAAAGCCCAAACGCTGGCAATTAATTCTACCATAAAAAAACAACTGAATATTAATCCAGCAATTCCCAAGCCGTCTCTCACTTCATTCCAAATTGGTTCTGTCTTGCCTTCCTTATCATTGTCGCATTGATAAAGATTTATAATGATATCTGCGAAAATGCCAATTAAATCGCATGCGACAAGGAGAAGAACAGTGTAGTGTTGAGCGCCAGAGGACAGAAAGGTTTTGACAGAAGTTCGAGACATTCGATAGCTATTTGAGAGCTTCTGGAAGAAAGAGCGACGAGGGATGTGGTGGTAGGAGGGTCCAGACGTTATGGAAATGGGTTGGGAAGAGGCGCGGATTAGGGGAGCGTGTTCCGAGAAAGAAGAGTTGCGTCGGGACATTTTGATGAGTCTGAAGTATAGTTGCTGGATTTGATTAAAGTTCTTCGAGGTTAAGGGAGTACTCTCTGCTTCCTCCGAAGAGTAATTATATCACTTTGTGGTGTTTGAAGAGAATTCGTGTAGCGCTTATCGTAAGGGGTATGGTAAACATAAACCCTGGTCAAATTAATTGTTCCAGCTCCAAGTCGGAGGAAAGATTCTATGATCTTGTACTTATACCGAGTGTTGGAGCATATACCTATAATTGTGGTGCATGCACAGCTCTTATCGTAAAAGGATCCATAGCTGGAAGCTCCAGCTGTACGGTACTTTTGTGGTTTGGGTAACTTTGGGGATAGTTTATTAGCTGTGGTAAGTGAAGGCAGGTACCGGTAGAGCAAAGCATAAGTAATTTGATTTATTGGCATCTGCCATTTTAATCAGTCTTAAGCTGTGTTGATTTTGACATGAACATTCAATTGTTTGGAGTGAATGAATGTTCAATCACATTGTAGACAAGAGCTTGGATCTCATAAGTATCAAAACATGACAGACAGACATTCACAATCAAAGACAAATATTAGCCGACCTCTCTAAGCGCGTCAAGGGCGGCAGCAACCGAGCTGTAGCCAAGTGGGTGTAGCCTTATGGAAGAAGTCAGGATGATTGAGAATAACCTCCATGCCAATGAATTTATTTTCTATTCACAACTTTTAGAATCTGCATTCTTTGACCATTTAATTGGACACCTAGGTGAGTTTTCTTTGAATATTTGTCAACACCCTTTCAATTTTTACAAGACTCAATGTTTCATGACACTCAATCTCCGATATTCAAGAATTGTCCGGTAGCAGCTTGAGTTTGTCATCGGCAGGAATACAAAATCATGCTAGCAGATCAATTCACTTTTATCTCCAACTTTTGATAAGATTGTGCAATTTTTCGTGCCGAGCTTAAGATTATTAAATTTGTTGCTGATAAGAGTTCTTCCAGAATTGCAAGCTTCTACTTTTCTATCAACAACCTCCCTTCGATCTTAGTTGAAGATCTACCTCTTCAAATACTTTACAACATTTCACACAAGTGCTACAATATAATTACACACGAATAAATCATGGCAGACAACGATCCAAAGCTTCAAGACCAGGTTATGATTGGCGAGGACGATAACAATGATGAGGTATGTTCAGAGGGTAAAAGATCTTGCCCCGGGAGCACATTTTTAACAACCGGTTTAGGAGGAGATTTCGGCCATGAAGCGCCGTGTTGCAGAAATGGAGGAGGAGGCAGCAAAGCTCAGAGAGATGCAGGCGACCCTCGATCAACAAAGCTCTGATCTTAGAGAAGATAAGGAGGACATTGATAATCGCAGTATCTTTGTTGGAAACGTCGACTACTCTGCTTCGCCAGAAGATATTCAAGCCCACTTCCAAAGCTGCGGATCTATCAACCGTGTAACAATCTTGCTTGACAAGTTTACCGGTCATCCCAAGGGGTGCGTTCTACGAAATTTGGCTTCTTAATACCTCGACGGATTGCGTCGAGTGTCATTGTGATCAACGCTACCTGGCAAGAGAAGGATGCTAATCTAGGTTTATGCAGGTATGCGTATGTTGAGTTCGTTGAACCAAGTCTTGTTGCACAAGCATTGGTACTTAATGAGAGCGTCTTCAAGGGTCGTAATCTTAAGGTAAGTCTTCTTTCCTACAACTTTACATGCACTTCAAGCTCATGATAATTACAGGTTGTACCTAAGCGCACCAACGTTCCTGGAATGCAGCGTGGCCGTGGCGGTCGAGGAGGTGGTCGAGGCCGTGGTGGCTACCTTGGTGGTGGTGGTGGGGGGGGTGGACGTGGCGGTGGCTACTCTCCCCGCGGAGGATACCGTGGAGGATACAGAGGCAATCGTGGCAGAGGTTTCACACCATACTAAGTCGTGAAATTTCTTGCATGAGTCGTCTTTACTCTAGCATATGATGAGATGGGGAGGATTGCTAAAGATGATGGCACAAAATTTGTGATTTGGGGGACATTTTATTTCTTGATCTTTCAAGATTTCATTCGAGAAGGGATCTGTTCATGAGAATACCACTCTTTCGGCGTTTATCTCAAGGATATGAAGATTCTTTGGATGCTCCATTTGGATTTTCCTGGATCATCATTATGGTCCTAACTCACAAACTTCTCAACGGCAGAATTTAAGTTTGTACTATGAGTATGATTGCACAATTGATGATGGTTCAGAGTGATATAAATGCTCGCGTGCTCCACCTCACACTTTGTTCTCCAACGAAAACGGAGATTATATTATATAGGCAGGCCAAGATGTACTCGAGTAAAGATTACTTTATTGAGTTCTCTAGATCTATTCTAAATCACCTCGCTCCTTTCCTTTACTTTCCCTCTAACATGATATCAAAAACAAACGCTACTCACGTGCCGGGAGATATTTTGGCCAGTAACTTAATCTGACCCGATTTTAAATCCTTTGATTCTTAGTAAGCCAATTGCTATGATATATAATATATACTAGGTACTGGTAATCAAAAACGCCCTTCGTTCGTAAGTACCTAGTAGTTTCTTTTTACTAATAGATATATATTTTTTGTTCTGAGCCAATATGACGAGAGTATAAAAATACTCGAGTAGAAGATTTTATGATTCATTCATGCCTTACAAATCAGGCTTAAAGTTTGATCATTTAGCGGGGACATTCTGTGCCGCCTTGACTTATTTGGTTATTCGGTTTACCACAACTTCATTCCTCTTCTAAACGAATAGACAGAATCTCCCCCTTTACGAATATCCTTTTCTTTATCATGCCTTTATGCCTCTCGAATCCCTAAATCGATAAAAACAACCTCAGAGACTCTAAGATTCACAATTTGGGTGTAAGGGGGCTTTTACAGCTCTACTTAACACAGCCCCAAATCAACGCAAGCGCAAAGCTTCCACTACGGCCAACCTTGAAACCCCGGGAACTTCAAAAGTGTCCTGCGCTACTCTTCCACCGTTATCCATCATTGACGTCCCAAGAAACGTCTCCGTCATCTCTGGCGAACCTTCACGATGGCCAGCAGCAGCAGCAGAATGGACTCAAACCTTCCAACGTATGTTTGGAACTCGGTCATACAAGAAGAGAAACAAAGCTGACACTTCTATAGGCAGCCCAACCTGCGATTAACTAGTAGGCAGTACTCGAGATTTAGGTACTGGTGGATATACTAATCATCAATAGTAATTGCTGCCGATGGGTTATACAAGCGTGATGTCTTTAGTACGACTTCCAATCCCCTCGCCAGATAACAACCTTTCTAATCGTGTGATGTAGGATTTCCGGACCCGTTCGCAGTTGCGACATTGAGTGGCGAGCAGACCAAAACTACGACAGTAATCAAAAAGACTCTCAACCCATATTGGAACGAAATCTTCGACTTGTGAATATGAACCATTCTCTACGGGAACGAACTAGGCTGATTTGGTTTTAGACGTGCGAACGAAGATAGTATATTGGCCGTGCAGATATTCGACCAGAAGAAGTTCAAGAAGAAGGACCAAGGGTTCCTGGGCGTCATCAATGTCCGTGTTGGAGATGTCGTCGATTTTTCTTCGCCCCAAGATCGTGAGTCGTGATGCTATACCTTGTTACGATTCATGTTCAGAGGCTTATAACAAATCGTTCAGAAATGCTCACCCGAGATCTTAAAAAGTCGACAGATAATCTTGTGGTACACGGAAAACTTATCATTAATCTCTCGACGAATCTAGACACCCCTCCAAGAGGAGGTAGCCTTGCCCCACCCACCAACGGCCTTTCAACCTCAAGCAATCGACCTTCTCTTCATACTCCAAGAGGCTCCGTTTCTGGTTTTTCAAACCCTACATCTTCTCCTGCCCCTCATACTCCCCAACCACAAGGAGTTGTTATGGCTAATGGGGCCCTATCCTCTGGACCGACACCGGGACATGCACCCGCTGCTGGCAGCGGCGGAAGCAACGCACCACCGGCCAGTGCAGGAGCAGGACATCGAAATGGTTTAAGTTCCTTTGAGGATGCTCAAGGTAGGTTACCAGCTGGATGGGAAAGGCGTGAAGACAACTTGGGACGAACTTATTATGTCGATCACAACACAAGGTCTACAAGCTGGAATCGACCATCTGCATCAGGGACAACCGAGACAAGGCAGGACGAGAGAAATGCTAATACCCAAGTGGAGCGTCAAAGACATCAGAATCGAACTTTGCCAGAAGACCGCACTGGTGCTAATTCACCAAGCTTGCCACAACAAATACCAACTAGCAGTAACAATTCAGCTGCGTCTACGATGATGGCTACTGGCGCTACAACTGCAGGAACAGGAGAACTGCCACCATTGTGGGAACAAAGACATACTCCCGAGGGGCGTCCTTATTTCGTGGATCACAACACACGAACCACGACTTGGGTGGATCCTCGACGTCAACAATATATCCGCATGTATGGTGGTCAAAATGCCAATAACACCATTCAGCAACAACCGGTTTCACAACTTGGTCCTTTGCCAAGTGGTTGGGAAATGAGGCTCACGAACACTGCAAGGGTGTACTTTGTGGATCACAACACCAAGACCACTACCTGGGACGATCCTCGACTTCCATCTTCGCTAGATCAAAACGTACCGCAATATAAACGTGATTTCAGAAGAAAGCTGATCTACTTCCGTTCACAACCAGCGTTACGCATTCTTTCCGGTCAATGTCATGTTAAGATTCGAAGATCACATATTTTCGAGGACTCTTATGCTGAAATCATGCGACAATCTGCCACGGATTTGAAGAAACGACTTATGATTAAATTTGATGGAGAAGATGGTCTCGATTATGGTGGTCTGTCGAGAGAGTTCTTTTTCCTCCTTTCTCACGAAATGTTCAACCCCTTCTATTGTTTATTCGAATACTCTGCTCACGACAACTACACCCTTCAAATCAATCCTCACTCCGGAATCAACCCAGAACATCTCAACTACTTCAAATTTATTGGTAGAGTGGTTGGTTTGGCCATCTTCCATCGTCGATTCTTAGATGCATTTTTTATTGGTGCCCTGTATAAAATGATGCTTAATAAGGCAGTCGCCCTTCAAGATATGGAGGGAGTTGATGCCGATTTCCATCGAAGTCTTCAATGGATGTTGGATAATCCAATTGAAGGTGTCTTAGACCAGACTTTTTCAACAGAAGATGAGCGATTTGGCGTTACAAATGTCGAAGATCTTAAACCGGACGGAAGAGATATCGAAGTTACAGATGAAAATAAAAAGGAGTATGTTGATTTGATGGTCAAATGGAGGATTCAGAAGCGAATTGATGAGCAATTCCAGGCTTTCATCAATGGTTTCCATGAGCTGATCCCAGCCGAACTTGTCAATGTCTTTGACGAAAGAGAACTCGAGTTGTTGATTGGTGGTATCGCGGAAATCGATGTTGATGATTGGAAGAAGCATACAGACTACAGAGGATACACTGAATCCGATGAGGTCATTAAGTTCTTCTGGCAAACAATCCGCAGCTGGGATGGAGAACAGAAATCCCGTCTTCTTCAATTTGCTACTGGTACATCTCGTATTCCTGTCAATGGATTCAAAGATCTTCAAGGTAGTGATGGGCCGAGAAGATTTACAATTGAAAAGCAAGGAGAGGCCAATAATTTGCCAAAGTCTCACACATGGTAAGCTATTCATCGAGGTCTTTAAGATCTATATGTACTAATTGGAGCTTTTAGTTTCAACCGATTGGATCTTCCACAGTACAAGACTCTAGAACAATTGCAAACGAAAATGACTATGGCAGTAGAAGAAACGATGGGATTTGGACAGGAGTGATTTGTGTTTGGGAGAGGTTTCATTGGTTCCACATGGTGTTATTTTCTATACAAACTGAGGGAGGCCCAGGTTTCTTAACTTTTAGATAACCTGGAAGGGATTGGAGGTATGGAATATTCGGATTAAGTGGCCGTTTCAAGGTTCGAGTCTCATTGTTAGGAAATGCATTGTAACGATTGATCCATTAATCGAAAGAACTTAAACCCAGCTCAGAATACCCGATGACCTTGTAATTAGCAAGTAGTGCACCAGAGAACAATCGTTACGGTATGGCGATGAGTTGTCCGCAGGAGGGATTTTTTTGACATACCATCACTGATTAAACATGAGAGTACAGTGTAATTTAGTGCTTGGATGTTGTCTACGATTTTCTCATAGTAGGTCACAATTGCCGGAGAATAGAAATACGAGGTGTAATACACACAATGGCAGCGCTTGCCACCGATCCTGTTCACCCTCGACTGCCAGTGGGATTAACTATTCTGAGCAGCGGATCTCAATTCCATCTTCTAACGAGAGTTCAAGGTCAATAGAATAGACGGCCGGCATGTTATTCAACGAGTCAATGCAAAGGATAGCTCATGAGTCTTGAATCCATAAACGCCAAGGCAGAACGGCGTGGGCAGGGGTAGGTATGATAAGAAACCACATAAGCATTAATTTACATTTACCGAACCTAGAATAGATGCCGCAGTGGCAGGGCGTGGTGTAACATATGCATTCACTGCTCATCTCGGATATTTGTTTTTGTTTTTGACAGTGGGTTCTCTTCGTGGTAAAATAAGCTTATTTTCGAGGTCTGATCTAATGCATAAATACGATTTTCGATACATTTTGGGGGTATTTTATTCGTTGTGTTTATCAAACAAGCTGCAAACACACTGCTTCGTATATGGTATGTATAAACGTATCACATAGGGAACAGAGGGGTAACATGGTTGCTCGGCGAACCCTGAGACATTCGTTCCAAAGTCATTTATGTATACATGCGCTAGGCTCTTTTAGGACGAGAACCAATCATATGCGAGGATTTCTGGGGTAGAGTCGGGGCGGAACGCGCTAGGGAAAGGGGGAGTGGCTTTTGGAGGGGGGAGACAGTTAATTTAGATAAGACTGGATATATTGGTTGTCCGGGGATTTTGAGGTTTGGAGAAGGTGTTGATTGGAATGACTGACTTGGTCATGAGGAACGGAGATGGTGGCTGTTGGACGTGGAGCATGTATCGTGAGTGGTGTATATATACACATTCGGGGTATGCGTGCTGTGAATTTCCTTTCTGTTTCTCTGCTTCTTTTGTTTTCTGCATTGCAAGTGTTGGGAATTGGATTGTGGAAACAATTGATTGTTTGTTGTGATGTTATACAACCGGACGCATACTACATTACTCGCGTATACAATACCCAGCACTCATTTTACATACTTATACATTTGCGAGTTCGCATTTGCATTCGTATCAATCTGAATACCCATAGCTCCAAATCATACCTCATACAATACACAATATCTATCCTTCAAAATGCACTTCTCAACCGCTCTCCTTCCTCTCACTCTCTTCGTTTCCTATGTCGCGGCTCAGACTACTGCTGCAGCAATAGGCTCTTCCTCGAGTACTTGCGAAGGCCAGAATGTTCTTGAGGCTTGTTTGAGCTCGACGACGGCGATTGCTAATGCATGTCAATCGACTGATTATGGCTGTTTATGCACGAGCTGGGATGCCGTTCTGACGTATGTGTTTCCCATCCTTCTTTCCCTCTTCGTCTCCCACTTCTTCCTTACCTTAATTCCCCACTCCTTGCCTCACAAACGAAATTCCAATTTCTAATGCTCTACACAATTCAAAGATGTTTCAACGAATGCCCCAACGATGCCCGCTACAGCAGCACACTCTCCTCTAAACAAACATACTGCAACGATGCATCAGTATATACATCGACTTCCACATCGGCCATCTCACGCGATCCATCGACATCGGCAGAGATTACAGCAGCGGCGGCTACAGGCACGGGTACGGGTACGGGTACGGGTACGGAAACGCAAACGCAAACGCAAACGGGGGCTGCGAAAAGTGCGAGTGCGTCGGCTGGAAGTAAGGTGGCTACGGCGACGGGGAGCGCGGCCAGCGCGGCGAGTACGGATAAGAATAGTGGGGCGGGAAGAAGGGTTTGGGGGGGTATGATGGGGGTATTGGGGGGTGTGGGGTTGGTGGCTGCTGTGTTTTTGTAGGGAGTTTGTTTAGGGAGAGGGGTTGAGAAGGGTTGAGAAGGAGTGGCGAGTAGTGGATTGGATGGGAAGTGGGTTTTGAGTATGAAGAGTAATTGGTGTGGTAGAAGTTAATGCTGAGGATAGGGGGTGAGGTATCATGATTGGGTGATGGGTTTATGTCTATTCGTGTTGGTTGAGCGGTTACTTTGTTGGATGATGAGCGGAGGGATTAATTAATTAATTAATGAGAAATTGTGTAGATTAATTGGTGTGTAGTATTATCTGATTTCAACAATTGTTTTGATGATTGCCAGAGTGCGCAACTTCCTTACTTTCTTTGCTTTTCTTGAAGTTCAAGCTGAGTGAAAGGACTTTTGGACATCATATTTCGATTTCGTTGTGTGGGTACGTACTACCTAGAAAATGATATGTGCTCGTTACAATGAGATGTCTGAAATAGTAAATGATTCTTCCTATGTACATACCTCTCTCAATCCTTTCCCTTTCCTACAAATATCCACCAGAATATCAACCCAACAAACTCCACTCTCCACTCCAGCCTCCAGCCTCCAGCCTTCGCCAAACCTCTAACCCCTGATTCCATAATTTACATAAACAATCGGCACCCCAATCACCCAGAACAATACCCAGCTTTTGTAGGCTCAGCCCCATTATTATTACCCACAAACATCTGACACGCATGTGCAGTACCATAACAGCAATTCTTAATCGTAGCCGTATCTCCATAATTAGAATTGATACCGGGAGCACGCCGCCATTCACGGCGGTTGTACCTTCAATGTATACGTTGCGTTTACACTGGGAAGAACACTTTCGATACAGATACAGTAGAAGATTAGCGAGTTTTTCATCACCATCGAGGAAAAGATCAACAAAGGGAAAATGCTGATCTCACATTCCCACAACTCCGATACAACTTCCCATAATCCTCAACATAGAAATTAATGATATTAACCGTGCCACACCCATTATGCTGCACGACTTTACCACTAGCATGATAGGCGCCCCCGCCAATAATCCATGCTTGTTGCCCGGCCACGTCGTTTTTGATGGGAATGGCGTCTTCACATACATCTTCGAACCAGACGTATTCGAGGGTGCAGGGTCCGGAACAGTGTACGCCTTCGGCTTAGTTTTTGCCGATTATGACGTTCCAGAGAGTGGCGCCGGAATGGAGGAGGAAGACGGCGTCGGCGTCGCCTGGATGGCTGTGTTAGTTCTGTGGAATATGATATATGTGGTATGGAAGGGGATGTGCATGTGCATGTGCATGTGTTGGAGTGGATGGAATTTCTGACCTCCTTCAACTTGATTGTTGCATGCACCAGAGCCACGATCATATTTCGCCCAACCACCATCGAAGACGGCACCGGCGGCTACTTCGATTACTTTACTATTAGTTTTGGTTGAGGTTGCGGTGGGGAGTCCTCCAGTGTAACCCAGGCAGGCAAGGGTGGAGGGAAGTATGGCCATGAGGCTCATAAGCTTCAGTGAGGAATGCATGATGTTTGATGATTGGTGAAGATGTGTGTATGTAGAAAAACTCAATTATTTTATCGCTTGCAAGAGACTGGATATGACGTTCATTCAGTCTGGCATCATGGTTCATATACAGGTACGAATGCTCGGTTTGGCGACTCCTGCCTCTCACTCGAGGATATACTCCTCCGCGCCATATCAACAATATAAGAACCTCCAGACACTGCAAGTCGTGAATAACTCTGCTAAGGGTTATTGCCAATCTCTTCGAATGCCGTGGCATGAGATGCTGCACTTTGATTTCGATAAGATGATATCCTCTCAATGGTGGATATGAACGGGTGTTTGGTTTGGTGTAGATGAACGGAAGAACTCTTCCTGCTTTAGTCTAAAGCTTATCTGAACATTCTTCAACGAGATCAGGTGGGTTTTCATTGCACCCCAAGTAGAATCAATCGATGATTGAGATAACGATACTGTAGCGAGACAATCGTCGAGGCTTCATTCACGCCAGTGTCGTGTATATGTATTTGTGAGATTCACATCAGTAAACAGTTCAGCGAGATCCGAAGCAGTTATCTCAAGCCTCCAGTCCTTGCCCTGGCATCTCCCCATAATTTCTCCAGATTCGTGTTACATTGGCAGATTAGACAGTTCTCCATGTGTGATAATTGAAAGTTTGGCTACTATGAAAGCTTCAATATTTTTCTGCGGATGACTTGGCGCTTACTTTGTTTCTTGGTAACAGGTGCATTGTTCCAGTTGTGACTATCGTTAAATTTGTGTTGAAAGCAGGAAGCAGATGGATGTTAGTGACATGCGGTTAAAAGAAAGTTAAACGCCAAGGAGTCGCCAAGCGCCAAGCAAGCTGTGCTATAGATCCAATGGACTTGCTGGAGGGATTATATTTTTGCGCAGTAAAATTCATGGTTTAATAAATCTCATCGATAGTTCGGAAGCACTGTGTGTGTACTCGAGTAGTAGACGGGGGCTTTTCTTTGTATTATATTCGAGTGATAGTAACGGTCTGAACGAATTTTCAATTATGGAGAATGTATATATGCTAAAAGGGTATCTAGGTATTCTATGGGTATATGAATAAACAATATGCTAATAATGAAGAAATATCTAAAACATTGAAATAATGAATATAAATAAATCAAAGCAAAATTTCAATATTTGCGTATAGATCCCATCGGTAGATGGGACGTCCCGTTGGGGTAAGGGTTCCACTCTGTCGATATCGACGGTAGGAGTAGTCCCATCGACCAAACCAAAGTAGCTCTTACCACTGTACCGGTCTACCTTCTCATATTTCTTAACGAAAAGTCCGCATTCCCTGAATACATCTTCCCACAAAACGAACATCATCGACTCATTGTTTGACCTATCGTTCCACTCCAGTATATCAAACAAATAAGGAAATGGGTAGTCGCCAAAGTGTAACCCACCAATCATCGCAACTCCATCGGCCTCCTTTGCGATGTTCTTCCACTCCATACTCCATCCATTCCACCCCTCTCGTCTTCTACCGTTATCGGTGATGATTTTCTTGACTCTGCATTTTGTGCATTGAGTGTAATCAAAGTCAAGAATTTCTCGAGACACGTATTCATCCCACTCCTCATCCCAGGCATCCCAAGCATGACGACCATCCTTCTTGAGAAGGACTTGACGAAGCTCCGCATAATTTATGTCTGTAGAGGCAGAGGCCGTCTTGCGGGTTTTAAGTCCCTGGATAAGAGCTTGGGCAAGGAGACTGGTAATGTATCTGTAGGGGTCCAATCTAAACACCGATGGATTGGCAACGTTGTCCCAAAAGTCATTCTCAAAAGCACACCGATCCCAACTTGTGGGAGGCAGAGCTCTCCAACATCCTTCGCACCATTGTCCACCGCCGCTCCAGAAGAATCTTTCGTCCCACAGCAAGGTCGCGAGAGGAGGGTACCACTTCTCTCTATCATCACTCTCGGAAAGTGCCTCGAAGGTGAAACAGCACTTGTCCAGATCATAACAATACAGCCTGCACTTCGATTCTTGTATGGTCATAGGTAAGGAGAGACGTGCAGCGTAGCAACCCTCTGGGATACTATTCGATGTGTGGCAGTAACCATGGATGTAGGAGTCGAAGTTGGACAATTTGAATAATTGCCGGTAGCGGGATGAGGTCAGCGAGAAGCAAAGCTGAGAGACATGACCGAGCTCGTTCATGATCATCGTGACGACTTCCGCAGGGAGTTCCGCGAGAGCATCAGCGTCCCAACTATATCGAATTAGTTGACGCGTTACAAAGTAGAAGGGAAGACGGGGGGTAGTAAGGTGCGAGGTATCGGGGGGTGACTCACAACTTGCCCCACGAGTTGCCCTTCACAAATAGTGATACAACTGTATCCTCCACGTCGATATCTTCTTCGTGGTCTTGTTGTTGACTTTGCGAACTTTGCTCAATCATATCTGGGCGACACTCCGAATACATGATGTTGTGTAAAAGTTCGTGTTTGTTTAAGCCTAGCATGAGTTGTTAGTGTATTTCATTCAACTGCTGTATGATCATTCTTTGTTTGAACTTTCCTCCTATATGAATATGTATTGATGATATTCATTGAGAGGCCAGCATCTGTGACAAGTGTTCAAGATACCGAAGGAGGATAAGATCCAAAGACTTGTTGGTGAATGGTACAGGATGAATGAGATCGCAGCTCATCAACAGTGTGGAAACTTACGGAAATGATGTAGTCGAAGGTTGTGGATATATTTCTATTGATGGATGTTCTGAAGTGTCGAAATGTTGTGAAGATTAGATGGGGATGTTTAAATGTCGAGTTGTTGTAAAATTTAGGTTGGAATGTACTTAAATGTCGATTTATCTGAAGATTATACGACAGGAAAACGAAGAGCTTTGTATAATGGATGGAAAAACTATAGCGTCATTGAATCTTAGTATATGATGCTCTGAGTCAGTGAACTTTATTGAAAATAATCTGAAAGAGGTGTAGTGGAATGACTGGCATGGATAACTTGGGAAGTATTAGTTCAAAACCATAAACTATATCTTCCACTAGAAACCTTGGAAACTACCACTTTGCTAAAAAGACTTGGCACTGACTCTCCTATTTTATCGTTAGTCGCTGTATGGATAGGGCTGTCTTATATCATGATGGAAAGTCGGGTGATCGCGATTGCCATATTTATTCCTAATACTGTAGTACTCTGGTGGGTAACAAAATGTAATGATCCGTACAAATCCATGTTTCTCTCCATACATAAGATCGTATTCTTCATACTAGCATATTAAACTGCATTCATTTAATAATATTCTCTACAATCTTTCGGAAAAACAAGCGAGAGTGAGTGAATCTTTGAATCAAGGTATGATCTTAGAGTTTGACTAGTGAATTTTATTAGATTTGGTCCCGAACTAGATCACATTAAAGACGTTGAGAGATTCGCTAATTGGTCTATCAAGGTTAATAGACCACAGGCCAGTGGTGCAGGCATTTGACAGCACCTTGGCAGCACTTGTCATTGCGCCATATCTTTTGCCATCTTGCGATGAGTTCGAGCCCTCGAGGCAACTAGTTATTGAGTGGCAATATAACTTTCCATGTACTTACAGGCGCCTTGGATTGAGATGCCTTTGATCTAGGCTTTGGCGCAATGTTATATTGAGAAGGAGAGACCCTCCTACGGTCTGGTCTGATCTGGCTGTGGGCACTAGAAAAAGACCTCTCGATCAACCAGCAGTCAATTACAAGCTGTTACTGTAGTTTTTTGCTGATGAAATTGTGGAGATATTCCTAGTTTCTATGACTTCGGTGGTACGCTATGCTATTTTGAGTTTCGGCCTTGAGGAGTTGAGTGAACTAGGCTGTTTTGAGTTTTGGCTTCGATTTAGTAGGAAATAGCGTAGTTTCTAAACATTAGCCACAACTAAAATATCGAAATTTTCGGGTAAGAGGAGTCTCCGGTGTGGTCGATGGCTGGTGATGCGGATACTCATAGTAACCATTGGTCTGGATTCGGTACAGTAACCGAACTTCGGTTATCTTTTTTTAATCCGTTAATCATAGATTCATAATGGTGGTTTGAATTCTAGGCCTGAATTCCCATAAATTTGACGGGTTGGATGGGAATCTCTGTTCAACTTGAAATGTAAGTATCAATTTCGAGTATCAAGTTTCAAGCTTCCATCGTAAGCCTCCAGTTTCACGTCCAAGTTTGGATGATGATTATGTAAAGTTGTTTTCGATGATTGGGTACGGTAATCGAGATTTATATCGTATTCTATTTTAGAAAAGGATTGGTGATGATTAGCATGTTTTTCCTGATACGGTTAGTGTACTATTCCCAGATCCGTGAGAAAGTGTAGTCACAACAGGTGTGCGTGACTTGCATTGCTTATTGAGCCAGCAGTTCTGCAAATGTATTTGTAATGTGCGTGTCATAGTCGCTTGATTGTCCAATTTTTAACCTTTTAGAGTAACGTACCTAGGCCATTCAAGATTTCGAAATGACACCTTGAGAGTTGAAGAATTAAGGCCACGTTTCAATTGAAGATTTTACGGAAGATTGTACGGAGACAAAAAATCAACGAATATACATCACACTCGAGATGATACTACCGATGTAGTTCGCAATCAAAATATTCAACAATACAAACTTCCTCGGGTAGCATGCCAGTTTTCTATATTGATGAATCGGGAAATAGCATGGTAGTCATTATACTCGTATGAGTCTATATTCGACCACCAGAAGTTGGCCATGCCAGTTTGGGCCAATGAAAGTTGACGTGGCATATCGAATTTAGTCACAATATCTGATTGCCGAAATCTGTATTTTTCTCTCTTACAGAAGGCCAAATTTGAACTCCACTGACTGAGTATGGTTGCTGGTGATATTGCGGACTTGGTGACACTATAACACTATGGTTGCATGTAGATCTTTGGTTGGGTTGCATTAGGAGATCTTAGAATATGCACAACCCAGTATAGATGCGCAACAAAATATGAGTGTGAATCTTAGCCTTAAAATAGTATGTTCATCCCAGTACAGACATGCAACATAAACCTATAATGGAAACTAGCATTTTGACAATATGCACACCCCAGTATAGATGTGCAACAGAACTTAATTATAGAAGTTTAATCTTTTAACGAGATATATATCCTAGCACAGATATGCAACAAAGCACTATTAGTGACTCTCAGTCTTCTACTAAAACACATATCCCAGTGCAGATATGCAACACAAAACGGCCATAGATATTTATCCCAGTACAGACATGCAACAGAAAACAATGAGGGAATCTAAGCGTTTTACCAAAGACAGATCCTAGCACAGATATGCAACAAGACATACAGTACCAGATCTCTTCCCATCCTCCTCGATAAGAACTTTCTTAACTTGAGGATCAGTACAGCCATCCCATCGTCGGTGGTGTCAAGTCAATATCGTTGTGGATATTCAACTATCCTTGAATTTTGGTCCGAAACTATTTACATTCTTGTGATAAATTCGAGCTGAATATCCAACTATACTCACTAAATAGGTTTAGAATTCATGACCTGAGGTTTGAGGAGTAAGGACTAAGGACATGTGTGGATACCTCCCATGGCATCCAAATATATTAAGGGACATCTTGTGCAATATCCACATGTGACATTTCTCGAGCCATCTAACAGACTTTTCGAACCGCGAGTTATCTCTTCATCTTACCCCATGGTTCCCATATCCAATTTACTACTGTATCTTATAATATCGAGGACATGGCGCTTAGATTACAGATTGTGGGAGTCTCGGAGTCTCGGACGAGATTTTGCAAAATTTTCAACGAATATTTGATATCCATTAGCAAAAGTATGCAGCAGAAAGCCATATCGACTTTTAACTCTCATAAAAATCATTTGCTGCAAAGAAATTGGAAGTTTATGATGTTTCTCGAATGGAATGACGTTGTAAAATTTGCCGATGGGTCGGCAGTTCGGCGGCAGTTCGTGTCTTTGATTAATAATCAGTCTATCATTTTCAATGTCAAACGTCGAATGCATTCATGAGTTTTCACACAACACGGTGGGAAACATAGTATCGCATTCAACTTTTTAGATTCTAATCTTGAAGAAATTACTGACTCTCTCAAAATCTTCACATATACTGAATTTATTAAAATGGCGGCCCCCAACGAGACCTACACCCCAGCATTTCCTCCAAAATCCAAGCCCTATATCTCCACCGGCATCCCATTTCCTGAAGCATGTGCCCATCACATCAAAAACACATTCCATGCCTCCAAGATCTACATAATTGTATCAAACTCCATTAGCAAGACATCCAATTTCAGCTCTCTCCAGCAACAGCTTGGTGATCAGGTTGTAGGCGTGAGGTATGGGATCAAGCCGCACACACCATGGGACGACATCTTGGAGATCGTACATGATATGCGAGAGAAAGAAGCAGATATCATTGTTACGCTTGGAGCTGGATCACTTACTGATGGGGCGAAAGTCATTTCATTCGTACGTTATACCCATTGGTACAATCGGAAGACTAGGAAGTGCCAGTGCTAGCCCACCATAGTGTTCTTCTGCAGAAAGGCCACTACCCCCATTACCCTACACTTCAAACCCCGCATCTTGTTACGACAATGCATGCAACAATATCTAATATGCAACTAGGCATTGGCAAACAATGTATCCACCCGTGAAGAACTTTACTCTCTCTCAGCAGAGGCCAAGACACCAAACTTAAAGCCATGTCAAATCCCCATAATAAACATTCCAACATCCCTCTCTGGCGGAGAATACTCCCCATTTGCGGGTGCAACTAACACCATCACCCATCAAAAAGTATCCTTTAGTCACCCATCCATGGGTGCCTCCCTTATTATTCTATCGCCATCCCTATGTATTTCCACTCCTCAACATATTTGGCTCAGCACTGGTCTTCGAGCTGCAGATCATTGTGTCGAAGGACTGTGTTCGCTAGATAAAAACGTTTGTGCCGAAAGCGACGAGGAATTTTCGAATGGACTGAAATTGCTTGTGCCGAATTTATTGATCACTAAAAATGATCCAAGGAACGAGCAGGCGAGATTGAAGGAAATGTGGGGAGTGGTGGAAGCGATGAAAGCACTAGGTAGAGGAATACCCATGGGTGGGAGCCATGGAATCGGACATCAGTTAGGTCCACTTGGCGTTGGCCACGGCGAGACGAGTTGTATTATGTTACCACCCGTATTGAAATATAATGCGAAGCATGGAAGTAAGGATGAGAGGGTTATCGAAGGACAGAGGAAAGTGCTGAAAGTTTTGTGGGAAGAGGCGACTGTCAGAGAGGTACTTAAGAGGAGGGGATTGAAAGAAGAAACTTCGGATGCAGGCGATGCGATAGGTGCGATAGTCAGCGAGCTTGAAATGCCGAGGACACTAAAAGACGTAGGTGTGGGGAAAGAACAATTGGATGCACTGGCGGATAATTGTTTGAAGGATAGGTGGTTACCCACAAATGCTGTACCGTTGACTAGCAAAAAGCAAGTGCTGGAGGTGTTAGAAATGGCTGCTGGTTCATAGTATGATCGTCGAGAGGAGCCATCCTACTAGTATCAATTGAGTTAAGTTGATAGCTCAAAAGTCTACCGTGTTGTGCTTAGCGTATTTGATAATTCTGTCGCGTGTGAGACTCTTGCATCATCGCGCAATCAATGCAAATGCTCGCTCAGCGAAAAGCACAAAAAAGGAATGAGTTGCATGCAGATCCAAGAAAATAAACAATTGAAGATCCCTCCCAGCCAAGAGAAAAAAAAAGCCAAAAATCTTTATATTGTACAGTGGTCAAGCTGCTTTAGGGAAGGGATTGTATTGTAACTTACCACTTTGTATCCTATCGTCGAACCACCACCGTATTAAGTATAGTTATTATTCCTGGTTCCCTGGTACAAGCCAGGTAGTGGGTCCCATAGTTCCTATATAGTCAATCAAGTTGCTTGCTTATAGTCACACTCCGAAGAGGTCGGACTTGTTGTACCCATGAATCTCCACTCCTAAAGAAACCGTTAGAAAGAGAGTTTGAGAATAAGAGTCGAGGCATATAACAGCTTGACCACCGAGAATATGTTTGACTTGTTTTTGCTATGTACCGAATTATCGTGGATTCTGTAGAGCAAATTACCGAGGAATAGTGAATTACGTATAGGTGATGAAGTACCCGTAACACGTGCTACGGGTTTGAATGAATTGTTTGGCCAACTTCTGGGAACTGTACACCCGGGTCAATGTGGTTATTATGTAATGATGTAATGGGTTTTTGATACAGAACCTCTCATGTGTATACGACTGTAATATGCGCTTTATACAATACTTTTATATGGATGTAGTCGCAGTATGCTGGGTATCTTGCACAATGGGATCAATCCCGATTCGGTCTTGCCGTTTCGATACTCTAGCATTAATTTAATTTTGAAGAAGAAAAGATCATGGTCGATGTATGTAGTTGATTCAATTGGCCGTAGTCAATAGATTGAAATGACTAAAATGAAAGTGGTGTGGTACAAGCTACAGCTGAGGAAGAACGCGACTTAAATTTTTATTCGTTCAATGGCTTCAAAACATTCATTTGCAACAATTCAATTCAATTCAATTCAAAGCGGTCTAGATTCCATGAAATATCCTGCCAATCTCTATATCTTTCGAAGCGAATGCTTTTACAATTACCTCAAACTCTATTCAAGTCCAAATTTGTCTTCTTCAAAAAATATCACGTGGTCGGCAATATCAGGGGCCAAACAACCACCTTCCTCTAAACAACCACCATATCTTTCTCTTGGGCTCCTAAAGTTGCAGTTTGGGTTTATCTTTGTCTTTATTCTGTCTGTAAAAGTCAGCACAATGGACACAATGGCAAACCACAATCATTTGACACATGTCGAAAACAACCCTCAAATTAACAATGAGCATCCACCAGCCCCAAGACTTGCAAGGCACTGAATACTGGAATTATGATTTACCTCCAATCGAAGTTGAGAAACCTGATCCTGCACTCACGTTTCAACTTTCCCGATTACATCACCGATCCCTATATTACAATCCCAATTATCCTCACCCGCACGCTGATCCTCGCTTTGCACGAATTTCAAGTCCGCCACTTCATGATTGTTTTCCGTTGGAGAATCCTGCGTATCCGGCGAATGATGTTGATTTTGATGAATGGACTGACTATGCTGCTTATTGTGGCTTGGAAGATGCACCGGCGCTTGCTAATATTTTGTCGAATGAAAAGAATGCGAGCCTCCACAGGAAATTCTTTACACCTCGATCAGTAGAGCAATTAGTAGAGTCTCTGCCTGAAGCTGGTCTGTTAGCCTTCTTTTATTCTTCTTTCCTAGCAATAATGTAACACGTTGCATTACAATTACAGCTCGGTTTAGGAGACATGCTAATTAGAATAACAGTTGACCACGAAGCAAATGCAGAATTTACTCATATGCCGGATGCGACTTCCCCCCATGGCTCTCGACCCCAACTTCAAGTTCCGCACTCGCGCCCATCACAACCTTCTGGTTACATCATAGATTACGATGGCTTTCATCTCCAAGAATCTAACCCAACGGTCCCAACCACAACCACAACCACAACAACAAATCAGCATCAGCAACAGCGCGGCGAGCAACCGCAAGCAATCATCTCCAGAACTTCACCAAGACCCTCAACACTATCCTCTCTTATAGTCGAGTTAGAAGAGCGAAGACACACATTCACAATAACACCCGCTCGACCTCAGAACCCAGCTTCTCTCATAGTGAAGTTACAATTACCAAGCGACAAGGTCGCCAAGATTCTCGCGGAACCAACGACTGTCGAAAGCTCTGAAGAAGAAGATGATTTGGAGAAAGATGAAGATTATGTTGATAGCGAGAGTGAAAAGGCGGCGCGTAAGAAGGCGAAGACTTCTCGTTGACACTAAGGATTATCTTTCTCGAGGAGAGTCGATCCAGAATTCTGCGCCGCGTTACCAGTCTGTGTCACGATGTCTTTATAGTTTCCACGGACAGAGCACAACTAGCCACTTTCATTTGATACCTCGAGCCTCGAGGGAGAAGAAACCGCGTCATAATAACTCTCAGCTCAGGCCTCCCCATTCAGAATCACTGCCACAGCAGCCGTATCCTAATTTTCCTCTACTACCAATTGCTTTCGCCCCAGTCATACCCCAACAACCTTTTCCCGACCCCAGAGTACCTCTCAGTCACATAATCTAAGGTGAAAGACGGGTTCTTCCTTGATTGTCTTTATTTCGCATCTTTGCATTTGTTTGTTTGTTTCGTTAGGTAGTATGTTCATTTTGTCAACCGCAGGAATCGGTGGGACTTTGGATTACTTCGATCCTTCCGGGACTTTTCACTGCTACTACTATCGGAGGTATGGCAGCGAGGGACTCATCTAGTGTATCTGCGCGCAAGGCTTCACTTTCTTAATAAACAAAACGCAGGTAGAGTCAACAGAAAACAAGTGGAGGAATGGTTGGATTTAGCGTTGTTTTTAATACCCAGATACCCAGCCTCTCTTGAGAGTGCCAATAGTTTCATAGTACCTTTTCTAAGTAGTAATGAATCGATGAATTAGTTTTCGTTCCAGATAATTTGAATCTTGAGTATGTATGTAGTGAGCAGTAGCCTTGACCTGCAATGAGGAGTATATTTTCTTGTTCCGATGCTTTCAAATAGAATAGGTAAATTTCATGCCGTTTACTATTCTTTGCCATTGTGGCACAGTAATCCAGTGGATTTTCTATGACGCTTTATTAGATGACAAGCGCTTCCACTACTCACCTCGAAGATGTATGTGGAATTACTTGATACCTATATGTTTTGCAGCCCAATATCAATACAAGTTACATCTAGTCTGACCACCAGGTGCCGGCGTCATGCAAGTCACATCCAGATCACCTAAACCTCATAGATATATTATGCTCACTGGTGATTCAATAATTACCCAAACATTGCTAGTCTGAGTATCAAATGCAGCAAATTGCCTAAAACAAGCACTGAACTGCTAAGATCATTCTCCAGATTTCAACAAACAGGCCACAGTGAAACATGGACAAGTCAAGTAAGTACTTTTCAACAGACAAAAGGTGATTAATGTCAACAACATAACATAGAGATATCGAACCTGTGCATAAATACTCAGTACACTTTGGGACCTACATTACTGATAGTTATAGTGGATTGACAGTAAAAGTTCACTTATTCATAACAGGATAAATCGATTCGAAATACAATCATGGGTTACAATGGTTCGTGGTCTACTTACAAATTACGATGTATGCACCGAAGCGAGAATATACTGTGATAAAAGGGGCAGGGGAACTTCGGAACTATTGTTGGAAACTCCATAGACTCCAGCATAACTTGAGCAGATAGAAATCATCACTTGCCAGTCTGCTGACATCAGAATGTCAAGTTCTCCCTGAAATATTTGCTTGTATTGTTGTTCTTCCACCTGCCAATGGGATTTACTGGTTAAAGCTATGTGTGGTAAACCAAAGATTTACCTATATAGTAGAAACTTAGAAAAGGAACAAGAAGGTTTCGAAGAATCTGGAATAAAGGAATTACTAGAAGAACGCCAAAGCTAACATTTTGAAGCTTTTATACATCAATATACTGAGTATATTAGGGATCAATGATAGCTCGAGTAGAAAAGTTATATCATGCGTACACTGCCATTTGCAGCGAAATAGCAAGCTCGGAGGAATCGGAGCATCTCTTTCACTACATGGGTCTAGTAGTTCCCCTATATTCTTCTAATAAGCCCTCGACTTGGGATTCTAGAGTGCATTGCAGTACGAAGAACAGAAAGAAATATTACTGGCGGCTATATCAAGGATGTCAATCAAAAGCTATACATAAAACCAACAATAGAGAAACCCATACTACTGTACCCAGAAACATACATACACGAGCAAAAGTCCGAAGATATCTAAGTCTCTGAGCGAGCGAAAGAAACATACTCGGTACATCATGAGAGTACACGCTCTAAATACAGAATCAAAACATGGAATCGAGAATCTTCAAGTATGAGATATTTCCCTTTGGACTGTGTTGTAGTTTTATTTTCATTACCAATAGTAATTGGATAGTTATTTATTGTAGTAATCAAAGAGGAATTCGAAGTTTAATGATACAATGAGACATGGCTGTGTAGATACATCATTCTGAATCTTCCTATGTTACCCCCACCACTCACACCACCACTAAATGGCCTGTGATTGTTTCATGAATTCGACGAAACAAGAAATTGTACAATGCATGATGTTAATTGATAGACTTCGAAGTAGATCAAGAAAGGTGTGAAAAAGAAAATATCCTACAAAACAACTGGTTCTGTGTATTTGACTACGCACGACTACTTCGCTTGCTGGAGGACAAACGTGACAATATATACCATTTCTGGTAAAATTACAGAATTTTCAGGCATCTCGCACAATAGTAACCTTATGTGGCTTCAATGAAACATGACCGCCCGTCCATATCATCCCAGCCCAGCCCAGCCCATTCTATTTGTCTTTGAACTCCTGAGAGAAGATCTTCTGCCAGAGATCCATCCATTTCTGTTGTTGTGCTGTAAGAGCCTTTCCAGGTGTCTTGAAAGACTTCGTTAGAACATCCCGTAATCGGGCTCGCATGGTTTTGATAGCAAGCATGGTTTTCCAGTCTGATACCGCAAATCGAGCCCTATTACCATCTAATATGAAAACACCGGCATACATCTGGAATAGGATCAGTAGGTTATCATAAACACAGATCAAGAGAGAGCTTACGTCGCAACGGACATCTCCGCAAAGAAGAGCAATTGAAAATTCTTCTACGGCCGTTGTTTCATGGGCGTTGTAAAATCTGCTTAGGTTTAGTGATGGTAAATACTGTTTTGGGTATAAGAACATACTGCTTGGCCTGCATGATATGATAGTATGAAAGCCATTTGATATCATGGTGACCCTTATTTACGGATGTAGGATGTAGACTAATGGATTGATTGTTGGCGCAGTTGCGGAAGCCCTTCCCATCGCGGATAAGAAGTTTTGGATAAAAACTCCAACCAACGACAGAGGAGACAATGATATCGTTATCACTGTTCGTATTGATACGGAAGGGTATTTCGAAAAATTGTCGACGGCGACTTGAGTAACGTGTCCTTCACAAATTAGATCATTTCCAAGAAGAAAATGAGGATAACATACCTATTTAGAGCAGACCTCTCGGCCTCCGTGAGAGGTAGGAACCCAGAATCCACAAGACAGACTACCAACTGTCCTTTCAAATCCTCAATATTCGATAAACTTTGCTGGCTAAGAAAGTTTTTGCGGCAAAATTGGTATTCAGAGCCATTAGCAATGCAAACTTTTTTCCAAGCTAGGTATGCGTTGTAAACCGTCAAAAGATCAGAATCGCCTCTTCTAAAGGCAAGCCTGACAGTATCCGCTTGTTGTCGTTGTCCAAAGGGTGCCGAGAAGGGCGACTTTGAGGACAAAATTGCAGCAATTGTGACTACTGCGTCGAGACATTTAAAAACACAACCAAGGAGCATAAGTTTTCCTAGAAAGACGTCGAGTGGTAACTTGGCCAATTGGATACCCAAAGGCGTTAGGTCTTCTCCCGCCGTCAGTGCTCTAACATCCACGAGCGCATCAATGGCACGCCGAATGTTCTTAGCAGATGGGGGATCCAAAGCTTCGCTCAATGTCTCCTCGATGCCTCCTAGCTTGCAGATCTTGACTCGAATGGCAAGATCTTGGAGGGATAGACGTAGAAATTCTGGGGTTTGTTGATCGGCCATCAATTCGTCATGTCTATATTTTGTGAAGAGATGAAAGCAGAGTCCCTCTTGTACTCGTCCAGCTCTACCTCTTCTTTGCTTAGCATTCGCCTTACTGATGAAGGTTTCTAACAAACGAGAGAGCTGTCTCCTCTCATCGAATCTCATCTCACGATGCTTTCCAGTGTCGATTACACAAGTGACGTCTGGAATAGTGATACCGGTTTCAGCTATGTTAGTAGCCAAAACAATTTTTCTAATTCCAGGTGGTGGCACAAGGAATGCAGCTTCCTGATCTTCGCTTGCGATACTCGAATGTAGTGGGTATATATACCAGTCTGACATAAATGCTGGGTGTCCGCAGAGCATATCATTCAAAGTCCGGATCTCAGCAATACCTGGGAGAAACACAAGGATGGCCTTCGGATGGTTAGCATGATTCGAAGCGATGGTCAAGGGGTTAGATCATAATATTTGACGGAGTGTTTACACATCAAGTGTTACAAAGCGGAATTAGTTTGGGCAAAACTTACTTTGCTATACATTGCCAACCGGTCATCAGCAGCGATTTTTGCAATTAATTGAGCAACAAGATCAAATTCAATCCGATACTCATCAAATTGTGCAATTGTGTTACGAGTTTTATTACTGTATCCCCGTAGAGCCTTCGTACTTTCACTCTTTGTTGTCTCATTGGAAACACCATCTGCGAGCTCGACATCATCATCAAGGTCGGTATATTTCTCTTTCAGGCCATTATCAAGGGAGAAGCCTGTGAGTTCAACAGCATCTTCAAGGTATTTGACCTGAACAGGGAAAGTACGTCCTGGGACGTTCAAAACAGGAGCGCCATCTAGATATTTTGAAAAGCGATCGGCATCAACCGTTGCAGACATCAGAATGACCTTCAAATCAGGTCTGCGCACTAAAAGCTTTCGAAGGACAATGAGTAAGAAATCGCTGTCTATTGTGCGCTCATGAACTTCGTCAAGGACGATATGCGTAATCTCTCGAAGGTCATTCGACCCCTCGAGCATTCGCATCACGATTCCGGTGGTGGCAAAGATGAGGCGAGTCTCTTTTGATGTATTAGACTCGAGTCTAATAGCATAACCTACCAGTGAACGAGGGGTACCAATATCGCTCTTGCGTTCACCGAGTTCTTCACTGACACGTCGAGCAAGAGAGATCGCAGAAATACGTCGAGGCTCTGTACAATAAATCTTGCAAGGTTGTCCTCTCGATAACTGATGCTCGAGAATGAATGCTGGGACTTGTGTACTTTTTCCACATCCAGTCTCGCCACAAACAATGACTATTTGTGAACGATCTATAGCACTGAGCACCTCATTTTTGAATGACCACATAGGTAGCTGCATCCGAGATTGAAGCATACGTTGATAACTATGTGACGAGCATTTTTCAGCCCATATTCTCTGATATGCCTCGGGGGCGAATCCTGCCTTGGGACCTTTTTCTATGAAAGGCTCCTCGTTGCCAGGAGCCCGAATCACGCCTCTGTTTCGGAAGGCACCATGGATCAAAACACCATCTTCTAATTCTTGATCTCGTTTTGCACGAATCAAGTCACGAAATGTTTTGATAGCATTACGATCCTTTTCATCGATTTTCTCCTTCTTAATCTCGGCGAATTCGGACCAAAGATCACGCCAGGCAGCTGGTAAACGCAAAGAAACTTTGTCCTCTTTTGCCGATGACCCAAAGATAAGAAACAGCGCAGTTGTAGCAATATATGCTTCAGATTGGCGAGAATCTGGTGTGGATACAGAAACCATAGTAAAACTTTGTAATTTCGGACTAGAACCGTATTCGATTTGCGAGAGGGGTGTAGTTGCAAGTAGATCTTGTGGTTTCGACCAGGTGATTCTAAGATTATGACGATTGGAATAACTAGTATCGGAAATGAGAGTGTAAGCCAATCTCACTGAAGTGTCCCTGTTATTCTTTTGTAAGCCTGAGTGTCCCCGAATAGATTTTGTGACCCTTACCTAGCTCGACATGCTTCTTCCAGCACCCTGGTTGGATTGACACCCGACCACTTCCCAAAGTCTTGAACAGTAATCTTTGTCCCGTCCTTGCCATTAATCACCGTACTGCTTTTACCTGTTAGAGGGTCTACCTCGTTGACAGGCAAGCTAGCGAAAAGATCAGCTAGCGCGGAATCGTCGTCGCTATCAGTCTCCTCGAGCATAGCTTTGCCAATTGCAGCTGCTTCTCTACTGATTTCGTCATCAGAGTCCACCGAAACATCCGACTCTTGCGTTTCCTTCTCATCTGCAGCCAATTCGGAAGCGCGCTGGGTAGCTGCATCCCGCTCGAGTTTTATTCTTTGGACATTCCATTGCTGGTCTGCAAGGTATTTGTCGAACAAGACATCATCTTCTATCTTCTTGAGTTTCCTTGCCAGCCTCGCTGACTCTGTATCAATCGGACTTCCATTATTTTGTGACTTTTGGGCACCCTTCTTGCCACTTGAACGAAGGTCAGTGGCAGATTTTGAGCTTTGGAGTATAAACATTTTTTCTTTTGTTTTCAGGTATACTGGGAGAAGATCATCTGGATCAATATCACTGTCATAATCTATTGTGGCTGCTTTTTTATTGTTTTCTTGCTTCTTTCCGTTTCGAGGGGTGTTACCACCATTTTGGACTGAAGATGCGAAATGCCTCATGTCTGATTCGAATCTTGGTGTAGTTGTTCCCGAGGCCATAGGGCTATCGAATGGGGTACCTGGAAGACAGAGTATTAAATTTAGATTAGTAGAACAGAATATAGATGTACGTACCATTTTGAGATTTTTGAGAAGATGCCAACCTGCGATGTGAATTCTGGTAGTCAGGCAATTCGTCCCTGGAACATTCACGGGAAAGCCACTCCAAGGATTCCTCCATGCCCCAAATTGTATCCTTATTGCTACTGCCAATCTTATCCGAAATATCCAAGACGTGTTGCAATGCCAATAATACTTTATCTGCTGCGAAATCAGCTCCAACAAGGGATTGTTGCAAGGTCCAAAGCCGTATTGCGAGCTCCTCTTCTGTTGATTGCTTCAGCGAGGTCGCATCGGTTGCTGGACCAGAGAATCGTCCCTCCATTTTTATTAAATCTAGAATCTCTTCCATAAGCTCGGGGGGTAACCATTTTCTTGTATTGAGAGTTTCTGCTTGGCCGCGCAGAACTCTGCGATCCGTTTCCAATCGGGTCTTTTGACGAAGGGCATCTCTTTTTGACTTCTGTGAATGTTTCTCGACAAGTATTTGAAGCTCAGAGATCTCGAGTTGCTTCTCAAACTCTTCCGGGGTCAGATTCGAGTTCTGATCCGTAGTTATATTTCCCACGACTTCACTCGTCCTATCCCCCAACTGTTGACTCTCAGTTGTATCAACTGGGTCGTCTGCAACGTCCTTTTCTTGCTCAGCTTCGATAGCTTCAATTTTAGGTTTCGAAGCAATCGAGGTGGTAGCAAAACCTCTGGCTGGATTTGTAGCTGGCTTCTTCTTTTTCTTACCACCTGCCATTTTTTAGATATACTTTCAATAACTGGTAATTAATAAAAAGTGTTGTTGATATCAATATCAAGCGCTTTGTAAATCATCAAAGCAAACGCCAAACGCGGGGCCATTTACAGTGGGGGGGTCGGACCGCCTGTCTTTCGTTTTACGGAATTGCTAGGGCGTCATTTCTCTCTCCCAACTTTTTTTTTTCGGATCGCGATAACATTGATCCAGATTGAATAATAATCACCCCTCAAGGATTGCAAACAGATATACGAGCAGATCGCAGAATTTACTATTAAGACACTTCAAGAAACCAATAGGTCATGAGAGATCTTGAAGGTATACAAAATGTCTGAGGTGGAGATTAATGGTCATAATGAGGGGGTAGATTTGGACCTCACTCTTACAAAGGCCGCGCTCATTTCCTCTTCCACAAACCTACGATTGGGCCAGTTGAAATTGATCGAGGAAAGACTCTCAAAGAAAGGTGTGTATTCAGAATGCTGGACTGTTTTGAATAATGTTAGCTTGTTCAACTGCTGACAATCCTTTATGTATAGAGCTTGATTCAAAACTCTTCCCCGCTCTACTGCAACTTTTATTTTCCTCATATCCATATTATTCCGACAGAGATTCGCGACTTGCGGTTCAAATTTGCATACGACATATATTCAATTCCGATTGCGCATTTGATTTACTCTCAAAATTTATAAATGACTTAGACGCTGAAACGAAGAAGGGTGGGCTGGCTCCAAGCAATGCGTTTGTGCTGGTTGAATATTGTAGTGCGATATTGCAGGTGACAACTAGTGAAGCCAGATGGAAGAGCTGGGGTCTAGTCGTTGTGGTTAGTAATGCGCAAGCACTTGAGCTATGTATTACATCGAAGCATAGAGCTTCGGCACTCAAGGCTACATGGCGGGGTTTACGGAAAGCTTTTCAAAGCGATATTTTCGAAACTGCAATCGGGGACAGTGTCCAAAAATTGAGTTCCAAAGGAGCCCAACCCTCCTTTAAGAATGCTGTGATGCTAGGGACAATTTCAGGGGTATGTGCCAGGAAACCACATGCAAAACTGGTTCTGGAAAGCAATAGAGCTCTAATATACAGCTTTTATACGCGCGAAATTATAACCTCCAGGACTCCACTACCTCCACATATTGCCAGTGCTTTGAGAGACTTCTTTGTGGACTTTACCACCCAGGAAGATTTCGAGCAAGAGATAGTACCATCCCTTGAGAAAGCGCTGCTGAGGGCTCCTGAAATCGTGCTAAACGACCTTGTCACACCACTCTTCCAGTCTCTACCTAGCTCAGTAGATCTCTCCAATGTTTTCCGAACTAAGCTTTTGAAACCTATCCTGTCTAATATCAAATCCACCAATCTCACAATTCGCCAGGGAGCGCTGTCTGCATTCAGAGCGATTGTACCCAAGTGTCATGATGAAAGTTCCATTGCTCAAGTGTCAGAAGAGATATTGGCGCCACTAAAAGGGGGCAAAATATCTGCGGCAGATCAGAGAGCCAACTATGCAGAAATGCTTGCAATTTTACCCGTCTCCAAGTCAAATGCATCGATTGCCATTGGACTTGCGGCGATCGCAGGAAAAGAAGCAAACGAAGCTTCATTATCAGCAGAGACATTCGCCTTATTGCACTACCTCAAAACGAAAGTACAGAACGAAATTCCGTTGGACAGCTCCATCATTAACACCTTCACGAAAGGCGTGTCCGATAAAAAGGTCTCTGTAAAGAAACTATGGACGATCCGCCTTGGAGAATTGCTGTGGGATATAGAAGAATCTGAGCTTTCTGAATCAAAACAATTGGCAGAAGAGACTGTCACAGCATTGGTAGACACATGGCAAGAAGTTACAGCAAACTCCATACCTGCAGCTCAATCTGGCCTTGTCACTGCAGCCTATGTTCTTACAGCAATCTCGCAGACAAAATTGGGTGTTATTTCAGGCGCAAAAATTGACACAGCACTCAAAAAGGCTCAAGTATCACATCAATCCCTATCTATGGAACCTAAGCCATCGTTCTTACTGAATCCTCGCATTTACTGCAAGCTTTCCAGTCACGATGATTTCATGTGGTTTGTGAGAGCTTTGTTTGCCTACCCGGGCCAGCTTGCTTCGCTCGATCCGACATCCCTATCCGCTATTGGTTGGTCTCAAGCTGTCATATTCTCTATATGTTCTCCTAACGTACATTATGATATCAGAAGGCATGCTTCTCATCTACTTTCCCAACTATATGTCCGCTTTCCTGCCAATTTATCCAAGATAATCACATCTGGTTTGTGGAGATGGTTACAATCTATCGAGGTTGGAGAAAGAGACAGCGCTCCATTGTTGGCAAAGACGGGAAATGAGAATCTGCATCTAGTACTGAAAGCGATTTGCTTGACACCAGCAGAAATCACACGTCGGGGTGGTGTTGTGGATCAGGCAGTAGCCAAGGGCCAGATGGTTTCGCTGTTGGTTATCTGTCGATCAGAACTACTACCAAGAGTTACCTGGATCGAGCTGTGCCTGAAAGCCGAGGTTGATCCTGGCAACCTTGCTAGGGAAAACGGGGATGCCTTGTTGAAGCAGATTCTCGATTTTACAAGCATTCAAGATCTGGGCGCCGTCCCACGGTCCAAGGTTGTCAAAGATGCTGCATATGATGCCGCTGCCGAGCTCGCTTTTGTTGCTCCCGATGTTATGACGCCACGAATTGTTGAGCTCATAGAGCAGGACCTTGATGCTACTCAACTCGCCAATGTTGGCCCAACAGAGGCGGCAATCTTCCGTACTCCCGAAGGAACTGCCTTCGTAGATGTGTTGGCCTCCAAAGCTCAAAGTCACACTCCGAACAAAAACACAAAAGATTACAATACATTAAAATGGGAAGAAGAGCTGCGAGCCTCGCTGGCAAAGAAGAACTGTCAGCAGAAAAAGCTCACTCCGGAAGAAACAGCCAAAGTCAAGGCTCAAATATTCAAAGAATCAGAGATCAGACTCCAAATTCGTAAACTAGAGTCAAAGCTCTTACGTGGAGTTGGAATCATCAAAAGCCTTGCAACTGGACCCCCGACAGAAGCTTCTCTGTGGATGGGAGCAGCTGTGAGAGCTTTAGTGAAAGTGATCAATGCTGGCGCTGGACTGATTACAGCTACAGCTGCCCCAGATGCTTACATCCTTTGTGCCAAAAGAGTTTCTAGTCGCATAGGTATACTCCGTTCCTTCGTTGGATTGGCAACACTTAGAGCTATGAATGTTCCACAGTTGTCACCACCCTTGACGCAAGAACCACTTGGGGCTCTTATCACACGTGTACTGTACCGCCTAAGATTTTCCGCAGAACAACGCCCATTCGATACAGTCTCTCTCATCTATATTCTCCCTCTTGTCTTCTCCGTGCTTCGGGATGGTGGGTTTGGAGATAGCGATGATGCGGACGCCCAGCTGGTTCTCGCCCTTGAATTCCTTTCCTTCCACACTGATGCCTGTTCCGACGTTTTGGTCCCACGAGACGAAGTTCTCTCTACATTGATATCATCTATGCAAACATACAACCAGCATTACAAAGCAATCAAAGATTGCTTGGCGGATCTATGCAGATGTATCGCACCGAGCATTACTGAGAATGAGATCGCCATCCTTGCTCAAGGAGCCATCGTTCCACAAGTCGCTGTACGAACCTCAGTATTGCAGTCAATAAGTGCAGAGATCGATATGAGTGAGCTCGACTTTTCGAACGAGATGTGGTTAGCCTGCCATGATGATGTAGAAGAGAATGCCGAGCTTGGGCGGGAGATCTGGGAGGAAAGCGAATTCAAAATATCAAATGAATCACCATTCCGGATGTTGCCATATCTTGAAAGTATGGATAAGCAACTTCGACGAGCCGCAGCTAAATCAATTGCGGAAGCTGTGAAGATCCAACCTTCAACATTCAAGGATGTTCTAAGCCGTCTGCAATCCTCCTATCAAGAATTCGCAAAGCCCAGAGTCCCCCAGCTTGATGAGTATGGTATGCCAAGGAAAATGGATCTGTCGGACCCATGGGAAGCCCGAAATGGAATTGCACTTGCATTCAGAGAACTAGCTTATGTATTCGACGAGTCACTTCTTACACCATTCCTCAACTTTTTGATCCAAGGTCCACTCGGCGATAGAAACTCGATTGTCAGAGAAGAAATGGTAGAATCTGCCACAGCAATCATAGCTATTCATGGCAACGACAAAGTGGAAGAATTGATGAAAACCTTTGAACACACACTCGAAACACCTGACAAAGGTTCTGAATTCTCTGATAGAGTTAATGAGGCTGTCATAATTATGTACGGTGCCTTGGCACGACATCTGAAAGCTGGCGATGAGCGTGTGCCGAAGGTGGTAGACAGACTTCTGGAGACATTAAGTACCCCATCCGAGACGGTCCAGTATGCCGTGGCTGAGTGCTTACCACCACTCGTTCGTGCGTCTAAGGAGCATACTTCGGATTACATACAGTTAGTGCTCGACAGGTTGTTCAATTCTAAGAAATATGCCGGTCGACGTGGTGCAGCATATGGTCTTGCAGGTCTCGTCAATGGAAAAGGAATCTCCGCTTTACGAGAGTACAGAATCATGCTTACACTGAAAGGTGCGATTGACAATAAGAAAGATGTTAATCACCGAGAAGGAGCACTATTGGCTTTTGAACTTCTGTCCATGATTCTTGGCCGCATCTTCGAGCCTTACGTCATACAAATAGTGCCTCAGCTGCTCTCAAGCTTCGGCGATTCAAGCGCAGATGTCCGTGAAGGCTGTCTGGCGGCAGCAAAGGTGTGCTTTGCAAGCTTAAGCTCGTATGGAGTGAAACAGATTTTACCAACTCTACTTGATGGTCTTGATGATGACCAATGGCGAAGCAAAAAAGGAGCTTGTGATCTCCTAGGTGCAATGGCATATCTTGATCCACAGCAGCTCGCCCAGAGTCTTCCAGAGATCATTCCACCTCTCACTGGTGTATTGAACGACAGTCATAAAGAAGTCCGTCTTGCTGCTAACCGCAGTTTGAAGCGCTTTGGAGAAGTTATCAACAATCCTGAGATCAAGGGTCTCGTGGATGTCCTCCTCAAAGCTCTCAGTGATCCAACCAAGTACACGGATAATGCATTGGACTCACTTATCAAGGTGTCTTTCGTTCATTATCTCGACTCTCCTTCCCTTGCCCTTGTTGTTCGTATTCTTGAACGAGGTTTGGGCGACAGGTCGGCAACCAAACGAAAGTCTGCACAAGTCATTGGTAGTCTTGCTCATTTGACGGAGAGAAAGGACCTCATATCACATCTGCCAATTTTGGTTGCTGGTCTGAAGATTGCGATTGTTGATCCCGTGCCAACTACTCGTGCAACTGCATCCAAAGCTCTGGGTTCTCTCATCGAGAAATTGGGAGAAGACGCTCTTCCAGATCTTATTCCAGGTCTCATGCAAACACTTAAGTCAGATACTGGCGCCGGCGATCGACTCGGATCTGCACAAGCACTTAGTGAAGTCCTTGCTGGACTGGGTACAGGCCGCCTTGAAGAGACCCTTCCCACAATTCTCCAGAATGTTGCTTCATCTAAAGCTTCCGTTCGTGAGGGTTTCATGTCGCTCTTTATTTTCTTGCCTGTATGTTTCGGAAACAGCTTCGCCAACTATCTTGGCAAGATTATTCCACCTATTCTCTCTGGATTGGCAGACGATGTTGAATCGATTCGTGATACTTCTTTGAGAGCTGGTCGTCTGCTTGTCAAAAATTTCGCCACTAGAGCCATTGACCTCTTGCTGCCTGAGTTGGAGAGAGGTCTCGCAGACGATAATTATAGAATTCGTCTCAGTTCCGTCGAATTGGTTGGTGACCTTTTGTTCAACCTCACCGGAATCAGTGCGAACACAGAACAGGATGAGGTCGAAGAAGGTGCGCAAGAAGCTGGCGCATCCTTGCTGGAGGTACTTGGCGAGGAAAAGCGCAACAAGGTACTGTCATCATTGTACATCTGCCGATGTGACACTTCTGGCCTGGTTCGAACAGCAGCTGTCAATGTTTGGAAAGCTCTTGTAGCGAGTCCCCGAACTCTCAAAGAGCTTATTCCTACACTTACACAGCTCATCATTCGCCGATTGGGAAGCTCCAACATGGAGCAGAAGATTATTGCAGGTAATGCACTTGGTGAACTGATCCGCAAAGCAGGTGATGGAGTTCTCTCAACCTTGTTGCCAACTTTGGAGAACGGCTTGCAAACTACTACGGACACAGATGCCAAGCAAGGAATATGTATTGCACTGCGTGAATTGATTTCTTCGGCATCCCCAGAAGCGTTGGAAGATCACGAAAAGACTTTGATCTCGATTGTCAGAGTTGCCTTGATAGATTCGGATGATGAAGTCCGAGAAGCGGCAGCTGAAGCTTTCGACTCTCTGCAGCAAATTCTTGGCAAGAAGGCAGTCGACCAGGTCTTACCATATCTCTTGAGCTTGCTCCGCACCGAGAGCGAGGCTGACAATGCCCTATCTGCACTTCTGACCTTGTTAACCGAGACGACAAGATCAAACGTCATCCTTCCTAACCTTATCCCAACTTTGACCACCTCGCCTATATCTTCATTCAATGCTAAGGCACTTGCCTCGCTTTCTACTGTTGCAGGGCCGGCTATGGCAAGAAGACTCCCTACTATATTGAATTCTTTGATGGATAACATCATTGCTTCCAAGGACGATAATCTCAAGTCGGATCTGGAGTCATCTTTTGACACGGTAGTCCAATCCATTGATGAATATGATGGTCTCAATGTGACTATGAATGTCCTTCTTGCATTGGTGAAGCACGATGATCATCGCAGAAGAGCAAACGTGGATTATCGCCTCGCTAAATTCTTTGCTGCAGCCACGGTTGACTACTCTCGCTACAACCAAGATATCGTACGGGCACTCCTTGTTTCTTTCGACGATGGAGATCCAGAAGTAGTTAAAGCTGCTTGGACGGCACTTTCAGAATTCACGAAACACTTGAAAAAGGAAGAAATGGAAGCACTTGTTTATTCGACACGACATACTTTACAGCATATCGGTGTACCTGGATCCAACTTACCTGGTTTCGGACTACCCAAGGGCATCAACGCAATTCTACCCATCTTCTTGCAAGGTCTTATGAACGGTACTGCTGAGCAGCGAGTTCAAGCTGCTCTGGCTATATCCGACATCGTTGACCGTACTAGTGGAGATTCTTTGAAACCATTTGTTACTCAGATCACTGGACCGCTTATTCGAGTCGTCTCTGAGAGATCTGTTGATGTTAAAGCCGCCATTCTTTTGACATTGAACAACTTATTGGAGAAGATTCCGACATTCCTGAAACCTTTCCTTCCACAATTGCAACGTACGTTTGCCAAGTCTTTGGCTGATACTTCGAGCGAAATTCTCAGAACTCGCGCTGCTAAAGCTTTGGGTACTTTAATTACTTTGACTCCAAGAATTGATCCCTTGATTGCCGAACTAGTTACAGGTTCTAGGACCTCGGACTCCGGAGTTAGGAACGCCATGCTAAAGGCATTGTATGAAGTTGTTAGTAAAGCTGGTGCTAATATGGGAGAGGCTTCGCGCAGCGCAGTGCTTGGATTAATTGATACCGATGCAGAGGATAACGATGTGTCCATGGCCATAACTAACGCCAAGCTACTGGCAGCCTTGATCAAGAATATTTCCCCCGAAAATGCTTCAGGGCTGATCAAGAATCGCGTTATAACAACCCACTTTACTCCATCTACAGTTCTGGCTTTAAATGCTGTTCTTGTTGAAGCACCATCGTCACTGACAGAAACCGCCTTTGCTGATGATTTACCGGAAGTCATCTGCCAAGGCATGTCAACCAAAAATGTGAGTATGATTGTATTAATTGTAAGGCTGAAGACTAATTAATTTGCAGGATTTTATATCAGAGAACTGCATCCTCGCCGCAGGGAAATATCTTCTTGCTGAGACAGCCAACCATGAATTCGAAACGACGAAGCCAATTTTTGAATCATTAGCAAAGTTGATTCAACCAGGAAACACTGCAGATGCTCGTCGTCTGTCACTTGTCGTGATTCGCACAATTTGTCGCCATCAGACCGACGCAGTTCGACCACATCTACCTTTACTCGCCACGCCTGTATTTGCAGGTGTCCGAGATCCTATCATCCCCATAAAGCTAGCAGCAGAAGCAGCGTTCCTTCAACTTTTCAATGTCGTTGAAGAAGAAAGCAAGGTATTTGATAAATACATCGCAGCTCAAGAACTGCCACCGAACCAAAAGAGAAGCATGCAGGATTACTTTAAGAGGGTTGCGTTGAGATTAGGCAACACGGCACGGGAGAGGAAAGAAGCTGAAGGTGGACAAGGTGGATTGGGTCTTTCTAATGATGAGGTTGATGATGAAAACGAGATCTCGAGTATTGGAAAGGTAGATTTGGGTGAAAAGGCTTTTGATGCATAAGGGGCTGAGGTTACGATTTGATGTAATGATTGAATTCACCATATCGAAAGCATTACATTTGAGCGATAAAATCATTGATATAAATGTAAATCTAAGTTACATGTACAAACTAATTCTGTTCTTCATTCTGCTGTGACTTTTGACCAGTCTTCATTGCATCGTTCTAATACACAAGATGTTCTTGGAAACATTAGGCATGGTGATGACTAATCCTGATTTGAAGCGCTATACACGTGATCTTCGGATTTCCAGCCAACTTCATTAGGGTTTGTTCAATCAGCACAACCAAAGTCTTGCCGTTTTGCATTTACTAAACTGTCTTTGCTGTTTTGAATTTATTACACCGTCTAGTATTAAGATCTCGCAACTTCCAATTTTGAAAGCTTTCCGTTTAATAAATCTCAAATTTCCAAAGTTGTGCGTAGGGCAAAGCCCAATTTTCTGCTCGATTAGTCACTAGTGGAAACCCTAGCGAGGAAAGTTTCCCCTCAACACCCAATCTCTTACCATAACGACATCGACAATCGACAATCTCGACGACTACCACCGACGACCACGAATTCAGTCAAGATGTAAGCTTACGCTGTTGCTAGATATTTTTATCCCATTCAATCGATCATTTACGTTCGATCCGATGTGTTGCGAGCCCTTTGAAGCGATATCAACACCATGACTTCACAAACATCAAAAGCTGACTCTTATTTTCCACGATAGGGTCAATCTCACAACCCAGAAGCGTCTGGCGGCTTCCGTCGTCGGCTGCGGAAAGCGCAAGATCTGGCTCGACCCTAACGAGACCAGCGAAATCTCCAACGCCAACTCCCGTCAAACCATCCGCAAACTCGTTTCCGATGGCCTCATCATCCGCAAGCCAGTCACCATGCACTCCCGCGCACGCGCTCGTGAACTCACCGCTGCACGAAGAATTGGTAGACACCGTGGTTTCGGTAAGAGAAAGGGTACTGCAGATGCTCGTATGCCAAGGTACGACATTCGCCACTCCATGGGAAATATACACAAACTATATACCTTCAACACGATAACTTATTGGGGAGGATTGTTGGGCTAATATACATGCAGTCAAGTTGTCTGGATGCGCCGTCTTAGAGTCCTCAGACGTCTCTTAGTCAAGTACCGTGCCAGCGGCAAGATCGACAAACATCTTTACCACGAACTTTACCTCCTGAGCAAGGGTAACACCTTCAAGCACAAGCGTGCATTGGTCGAACACGTAAGTTTTAAATTGATTAATGTTTACTAGTTGTAAAACTTGAACTGACAAATTCCAATAGATCCACAGAGCTAAGGCTGAGAAGGCCCGTGAGAACCTCTTGAAGGAGGAGATGGACGCCAAGCGTGCGAAGACCAAGGCTGCCCGCGAGAGAAAGGTAGAGAGAACCCAAGCCAAGAAGGCTGCCCAGTTCGGCGAGGAAGAGGAGACCGAGACAAAGTAAATGGTTGGACTTTTGTGACGGTAGCATATGGTGTGTATCTGGCAAGGTTTATAATACAGGCCGGTTGCTTTCGATGTCTTTTGGCATCCTGCATTATCGCACGGGCAATGGTATCATGATCTTTCACTCTCAAGATTCTTTGGTGTTCAATGGTTTTCTGCAATCAGACGGTTCAAACGTGTCAACGATATACCCGCTCTTTTTCCATATCTTAATTGCCTTGGTGATAATTTTCTTCTGTCCAGCTCAATAGATTACAATTTGTTGCTCACTTCGTGGTGCATATTATTCGGGTCAAATTGGGGTTTACTATGACTTATCATTAATCTCACAATCGAGATGTTAGGATGCATTTTCGGCGGACTCCAAACCTACAACGTTTTCCCCATTGCAATCATTTCCATTCTTCATTCCGAAGATATCATCCACTTTCAGGTAACTTGATTCGAGATATTTTCATGTTATCTTGATAAGACATCGAATTGCTACGTCACCACGTTGAATATATATCACTCCCTATTGTACCTGGATAGACGAGAAGAAGTGAAATACTGTAAAAGCAAGTATGAACCAATATGTACTAGGAGGCTACAAATAATGGCACTACCACTGTGCTTCTTGGAAGATGTCAGTCGTAGTAATAAGACATCTGATAGCGACTCCTCTGTTTTCAGGACAAGGGCAAAATGAATAAATACTGAGAAGATCGGCAGGTATCATGTCCCGATGCCTAACCGAATCTGGCGTTAGCTTATTTTCAATGGCGGGGATATGAGAGCCATTCGAGATTGTAGATTGACAGGAACAAAGCTCTACTTTTGGTTTAAGCAATTGCTGATAATCGAGTGGTAGACTTCGAAATTTGACTCATAAAAAGGTCGAATTGCTAATTGAAGAACAGGAAATCATGTCGCTCTTTAAAGGAGCCGCGAGAACTGTATACAGGGCTGCTGCTGCGCAAAGAGTAGTAGTTCCAATATGTGGCGCGAGAAGGGCGGCGAGTAGCAGTCGAATGACTATGGAAAGTCAACAAAAGGTTTGCTTCTTGTCAGTTGGTCTTACATAGCAAAAGCCTGATTATGTTCGGAAGTTACTCTCAGCAGATCTTGAACATGCAGATCCAGCAGTCTTCAATATCCTCCAAAATGTATGATTTCGCCTCATCAAGCCCTCTATCCGGGATGCACAATTACTAACCCTTATAACTAGGAAAAAAGGAGGCAGAAGCACTTCATAAACCTTATTCCTTCCGAGAATTTTACATCACAGGCGGTTCTAGATGCATTGGGAAGTGTTATGCAAAGTACGTTTGTGGCGCGATAGAGGAATGAGTCAATGTTGACTTTCTGGCAGATAAATACTCCGAGGGATACCCAGGGGCAAGGTATTATGGAGGAAACGAGTTTATCGACGAAGCTGAAAGATTATGCCAAAGTCGTGCTCTACAGACTTTTGGTCTGAAAGAGTCAGAATGGGGTGTCAATGTTCAACGTATGTCTTTCATCTGATATGGGAGTTCCTCACTCATAAGTTGTTCAGCATTATCCGGTTCTCCAGCAAATCTCTACGCATACTCCGCTCTCGCCAATACGCACGATAGAATAATGGGATTGGATTTACCCCATGGTGGCCATCTCTCCCATGGATACCAAACTCCTATCAAGAAGATCTCGGCTATCTCAAAATATTTCGAAACTCTTCCATATCGATTGGATGAAAGCACAGGATTGATTGACTATGCCAAATTAGAGGAGCTTGCTACATTATACAGACCAAAGATTATTGTTGCTGGTACTTCAGCGTATAGCAGACTCATCGAGTATGAGCGTATGCGCGAAATTGCCGACAAGGTTGGAGCATATCTATTGGCTGATATGGCCCATATCTCTGGTCTCGTTGCAGCAAAGGTTGTTCCAAGTCCTTTCGAATATTCGGATGTCGTCACAACTACCACACACAAATCACTGAGAGGTCCTCGTGGTGCTATGATCTTCTTTAGAAAGGGAGTTAGACGAGTCAATCCAAAAACAAAAGAGGAAGAGATGTGGAATCTTGAAGATCCAATCAATGCATCAGTATTCCCTGGACATCAAGGAGGTCCTCACAATCACACTATCACTGCATTGGCAGTCGCACTGAAGCAAGCACAAAGTGTTGAATTCAGAGCTTACCAAGAAGCAGTTCTACTGAACGCCAAGGCATTCGCAAAGCGTCTTGGTGACTCAAAGGATAAAGGGGGTCTCGGCTACACCATCGTCTCTGGCGGTACCGATAATCATCTTGTCCTTGTTGACTTGAAGCCTCAAGGGGTTGACGGTGCCCGTGTTGAGCGTGTTCTCGAGCTCGTCGGCGTAGCATCCAACAAGAATACTGTTCCAGGTGACAAATCCGCCCTCAAACCTGGTGGACTAAGAATGGGTACACCTGCCATGACAACTCGCGGGTTTCAACCCGAAGACTTTGTGCGTGTTGCCGATGTTGTAAATAGAGCAGTGACTATAACTCAACGATTAGACAGAACCGCAAAGGAAGCAGCAGAGGCAAAAGGCAGAAAGAATCCTGGTAGTGTAAACGCTTTCCTGGAGTATCTCGGCGAGGGTGAGAACGAGAGAGAGATTGTACAATTGAGAAGTGAGGTCGAGGAATGGGTTGGCACTTTCTCGTTACCGTGGGAGGAGAGTAGTTAAAGTAATAGCGTATCTGAGTTTTAATGGGATATGCAGTAATGGTTTTTGAGCAGTCTTAGGATATGCATGGCATGGTGCAGTGGCATATTGTGAATCATAATATTATGTATGGGTATGGTTCTCAACTCCAGATCACTCACAGGTATTTCAATTTCCCCGGTTTGCTTTTAAATGATATGCATGCTCCTACTCCTAGATAGATAATATACTCTGCTTCCAGTTTATCGGTTTAGTGTACAGACGTTGTGATATAATGGACTATGAGTATACTCGAGTAATGGATTCCATATTCCACATCATTCAAGGCCGCAAAATGCTGGGCGTAGGTAGAATTACGCCCTAAACGCTAGACACCATACATATTACATATATTGATACAATAATACGATCATACTAAACATTAAATATAACTGAATTTCTAATATTTAAATACTATTCCAATCATTTTAGGAAGAAATATCAAAATATTTATATTATGCATCCAATCCAAGAGCCGCGATTTTCAAAATCGGCTGCTCCATGCACGGACCACATGTTAACTTCGAACTTCGACTCCATCATTTCCATATCCACCCTCAAAGAAAGCCCCGAATTATATTTCAGGTCAACCCCAACCCACGTCAACCCAAGTCAACCCAATTCAAGCCAATCCGAGCCAACCCAAACCAACGAGTCCCAATCGCACTTTGTTGCATTCTCAATCATGGCATCGCAAACCGCCGTCAAAGTAGCTCAGGCTACTAGAGTTATGGCTGTTAATCAGGTGTGTTTATTTCTCTTGTTTCTCTTTCTTCCCCATACCTCTTAGTGTAGAGATATTTATTTGTAGTCTTATTATTATTATTATTATTATTATTATCCTCCCCTCTCATATTCCCAGCCAGCCCAACCCAGCCCAGCCCAGCGCACTAACAAAGCACAACACCAAAACTAACACCCTCTCTCCCCTCACAGAAATACACAGTCCAAAGCACCGGCATCTGGGAAACCATCCGCCGCATCTTCGCCGTCGACCCCACCCGCTCTAACGGTGTTCCCCTCAACGCTCAATACCGGCTCCCACCCCCAGGCTCCAACGAACCCTTCTCATTCATCGATCCCGTCACCCTGCCCGCAGGAGATATTGCCGAGAACCCTTATTGGAAGCGTGATGCGCGCAGGAATTATCCGAGAATGAGTGTAGTGTCGCAGGGAGATGTGGTGGGGTTGTTGAGTGTGGGGAGTCAGGAGGTGCCGAGGAAGGAGTTGGTGGGGGAGGAGGGGGGCAGGGAGTTGAAGAGGGTGGAAAAGGAGGGGGAGGGCGGGTTGGCGGTGTTTTTTAGGGGGGAGGAGAATAAGGGGGGGGGGAGGGCGTTGGAGGTGCTGGGACGGGGGGGTTTGCCGCCTACGCCTAGTGGGGTTTGTTTGAGTGAGGGCGCGGATAAATATTCTTTGACGGAGGAACTTGCGTTTCCGGAAGGGTGAGTTGGGATTTTTAACTTGGGGTTTAGGGATGTGGATGTGGATGAAAGCTAATATTTGTGAACTAGATATCCGTGTCGGGCTTTCAAGTAGGGGTTAAGATAGAGGTTGAGAGAGGTAAAGGGGGACTAGAAAGGTGTAAGCGAAGAGGTGTGAGGGAGCAGGGAGGAGATGATGGTTTTGTACATATGATAGATATGCTTATGCAGAGATTGCGAGCAGAGATTGAAAATAGAGATTTGGGCGGGTGATTCATATTCATATGGCACATATACTCGAGTAGTCTATTCTGATTGTTTTTATGGGTGCGGTGCTTGTGCTTCTTGTGGTGAAGTGGTGAAGTGGTGAGGTATTGAATCTTTTTTATTTGAGAAATGGGGTTTACGTTTATGGGTTTAGTTGATAGATGGGAAGTAGATGGGAAGAGGATGAGTTCTTGGACTATATAAGAATAAGAATATGAATATGAATAAGATTATAAGCAAGCAATGAAGTAGTTGAATAAATACAATACAATAAAATGAATATCAAATCAATAAATCAATCTATAGTATACAGAATTGGAGTAGGTATCTTCATCTTCTTTTGATATTTCAATTTATAATCTTAATTTTACTATTACTACTTAGGTACTTATATATCCGTCCCCCTCTCCCCTTCCCCTGATCGATATTCTAATACAGTAAGTAAGTAGATAGTGATTGAGAGAAAGAAAGAAAGAGAGAAAGATCGATCGAGAATATTTGATTTTCATCTTTGATCTTTGATTTATTTGTATACTGAGTACGAGTAGTATAATTAGTATATTGGTATTAGTTTTATGAAAGATAGATGGATAGATAGATAGAGAGGTGGAGGAGAAGAGGAGAGGAGATAAAAAGGAGATAAAGGGGGGGAGAGGAGATGGAGGATGTGAATATGTAAATGTAAGTAAGTGACTTCCCTAACAATAATATAGTGAAGATTCTAAAGAATGATATACTCTAGTAAAGAATGATACTGCTTATACTGTACTCAAGTAGGAATAAGAATGCAGTATTGTATCCTCAAATGAATCACTACCTAGGTAGGTATCTACTCGAGTATATAGATACTCATATCCAAATCCAAATCCAAATCCAAATCTAACCACAGCACATTACCTATATCATACTCAAGTATATTCATCCATAAATATGATCACACTCATACTCACACCCAACTACAACCACAACCACACTCATACTCAACTCTTACTCAACTGATACTCAACACTCAAAACCAAAAGAAATCACTCATCCATATCCATATCATATCCATATCAATCATATCCATATCACATCCACTCTACATCCCCTCCATATCACATCATATTCCCAAACTCTATTCTCACCTCATTCCCAAACCTCACTCCCTTCCAAACCTCACCTCACTCTCTCACCCATCCTTAAGCACCTTGGTCCCCTTGATCCCCTTGATCCTCTTCCTTCCCCCCACCTCCCCCCCCAAAAAGAATATCCAATTTGCTTTCCTTCCCTTTGTTTTTCTGTACTGCTCGTAAAAGATCCAAATGTAATGAAAAGCATACAAAACAAGTAAAGTAAAAGCAGAAAGCAGGACAAGGTATATATATACATTTCAAAATTAGATTCTCATTTCATTTCGTTTTCGTTTCATTGTTATTGTAACTGTCCATTGTAACTTGTCATTATCATTGTAATTATCATTGGAAAGAAAGTAGGTACCTATCCTTAGAAAGCTATACCAACTATACCAACTAGACCAACTATACCAAAGTAGACCAACTAGACCAACTAGAACAGATCAATAAGTAAGTAAGTAAGTGTCTTTGGAAATATGTACGAGTAGCCTTAGAAATAGAAATCAAGTAATCCAATCAATTAGACCAGATCAAACAAGACTAGACTAAGTGTTTTTGGAAATATGAATCCTTAGAAATAGAAATAGAAATCAAGTAATCCAACTAGACTAGATCAATATCAATAAGATAGGTGTCTTTGGGAACATTGGTAATATTTATCCTTAAGAAATCAAGTAATCCAACTAGAATAGACTAGACCAATAAAGTGTTTTTGGAGATAATTATCCTTGACAACCAAAGCAATCCAACTAGACCAATAAATGTGTCTTTGTAAACATATCCTCATAATCCAAATAATCCAAACTATCGCTAACCCATTCCATGCTTTTAGCTATCCATTGCTTTGCCTTGCCTTGCCATCGCTTGCCTTGCCATCGCCAGCACCTTCTTTTGATACCAATCCCAATCAAACCTCAAAGCCAAACGGGAATGAAAAATGAACATACATGCATTCATTCATGCATAACATGAGAATGAAGAAAGCCAATCCAAGTAGGTAGGTAGGAGAGATTCCCAAATTAAGCATCCATCATCACAAAAAATAAAATCAAGTCGAGTCTTCAGCAGCCTTGATCTCGGAATCCTTGCTATCAAGCTTCTCAGCAGTATCGGCTACATCAGCTGCCACATCTGCTTTGGCAGCATCTTCCTTGGATGCGGAATCTCCGTTGGTACCATTGGTTGCTCGTTCTTCAGAAACGGTATTCTTTTCGGTCTTTTCTTCTTCTTTTTCCTCTTCTTCTGGTGCGGCTTCTGCTTTTGCTTCGGCTCCTTCGGTTACGATTTCTGTCTCGGGTTCGATTGGTTCGGGGGTAGCTTCAACTTCAGATTCTTCCTCGGCAGGACCAATCAATTGCTCAACTACCTCGAGTGTTCCCTTTGGAGAACCAGGTTGTGCGGCTAAAACTTTGCCGGATTTATCGATGATGAATACACCTCTAGTAGTACTATTTCCCTTCTTTAAACCAATTGCACTGATAAGGGAAGCCTTAGTGTCGCAAAGAAGTGTATAAGGGAGCTTTTGTTTTGTCTTGAAGGTGGTGTTTGCCTTGGGGGAATCCTTTGATAAGCCATAGATGGAATATCCTGTGTCTGAAAGCGAAGTGTGAGAATCTCTGAAAGCGCAGACTTGGGTTGTACCTGTAATTTTGAGGTTAGCATTGATAATATAAATGAATGTTTCCTTCTCAATTCAAGGGCAAGATTGTGAGCTCAAATACTTACATCCAGGTGTAGAAGCTTTGGGATAAGTGAAAAGAACAACACCACTCTTGCTCTCATCAACAAGTTTCTTCAGTGTAGTCTTTTCACCATCATTTGTTTCGATCTCTCCACCAAAACCTTCAAGATCAATGGTTTCACCAACCACAACTTTAGTTGCAATCTTTGAAGGAACAGGAACCGGAGCTGGAGCCGGAGCTGCAGCTACAGCTTTAGATCCATTTGTCTTTAGTGCAGCTGCAACTGGTTCATCGGTCTTTGATGTCTTGGTGGCTTTAGGTTCTACAGCTTTCTTGATTGTCTCTTTAACTTTTGCGACCGTCTTTACGACACCAGACTTCTTCTTTGCTGGAGGAGCTGAAGCAGGTGGCTCTGCTGGAGCTGGGCGCTTTCTTAATGTGACGGGCATGATTAGATGTATTGAAGGAGCTTGATTAGATGGAAAGTTGAATAGATGGAGATTATTGTTGTTAACAAACTTGATTGTCGCAATTGAGATGAAGTTCGGCTTTGCTTGCGATAAATAGGATCGAGTGATCTTATCTAAAGACAAAGTGCGCACGGATCAATCCAGAGTTTCGTCCGATGGAACTGGAACACAAAAGTTGATTGAGACTTGGGTTGTGATGAAAAAGGTGATGTTGGAGTTTAAGAAAAGGATGAGATGGAAAGGAAAGTTGAAGTTGATGGGAATGTTGGATTATAAGCTGAGCACTTCTCTTTTAAAACAAACAAGGTCAGGGGAATTATATTTTGGTGCAGCATCAATTTTTGTATATGATCCACCCTCGGCCTTCTCACTGCTCAGATATGGGCACAGTTAGAAAGTCTAAAGTCATTCAGCAAATAGGATCTTTCTCAAGGGCCACGAATAGCTGTGAAGCGAGAGAATCAGCAAGCCATAAAGCTAGCAAGCCGGGGAAAAGCTTCAAGAAACACAAGGAAGGGAATTGTGGAGTTTGAGGAGATGATTGGTTGAGGTATATGATTTAGTTTTAAGGATCAATACAGAGGAGAGGTTCATAACTTAACATCAAGATCTGAGAACCGGCTACAAGCATGCTTATCCAGGTGACATAAATCATTAATGAACCCCTTTAGAAAAATACCTCAAAAGATTAAGAAGAGAAGAGATACTTAAATATGTTCAGAGAGGGTTGATTAGCTTTTCAATAATAATCTGAACATGTCGAATGATATGATGTTCATATTCTAATATGTTTAATCGTGGGAGAGGAGATGATCATAATCCAACGGAAGATCCCAGGGTTGCTTGCAGTGCCGTCAATGCAATTAATTGATGCTAACTACTCCAAGACAAACACTTCCTACTAGCATACATATACATACTCCAAGCAAATATAGTATGGTAACTCGGTGGCTATGTGAACTCCTTCATCTCCAGCAGTTAATTTGATTTTTGATACTCCTTTCTTAATAACCTAGGGCGCACGAGAGTAATATCGTAATATCAAGCACCTCAGCCCCGCAACTTACTAGAATACTCCGTCCGTACACACGACAAGCTCCAGGGGGGTTGGTTTCTATATAGCGTCAAGTTCCTTTCGGGTACTGTAAATGCTTCTTCTATGATTTGATGTCTATGTGCGAAAGTACTCGGATCAGTATCCCGAGTTGTTCCACTGGATCAGTCTGATAGTTCTGGTTTGGTTTTGCATGATAATGTCTTGCCAATATAATCCCGAATAATGAAAAACAAACTCGGATCCTTTTCGAACTTCAATTTAATTTACTGTCCAGGTTCTTGATGATGATTCAGATGATGTAGATGATGTAGTTGATTCATCAAAATCACCAATACATTTTCAATGATCAACCATAGAAATACCTGATATATATACTTGTACCTGAAATGCTTTGATAAGTAATGAATCAAGCTTTGAAGATCATTGAATATATATCGGGGGAAAGTTAAGCGAAAGACCGATGGCGAAAACTTGATTTTCACAAGCAAAAAAAAGACCAAAAATAAAACCGAATTAGATCCCGACCCTTTATCTTGTGGGACGAAAAAAGATTCCTTACTTATTACTTAATTACTTACTAAAAACCTCCATTTCCTATAATTAACTACCCCCTCTTGATTCCTACTCTTTCGTAATCATACTACGATTACATCTACAATACAATAAATACAATTTCTGATAATCAAAAGTTCCTTTATAGACTCTCAATCGTTTCAATCATCTATATTATCCCTACGATAATTCCTAGCGGTTATAAAAAGAAGGGTCCAATCCAGATCTAGTTCTTTCTGCAAGCAAGCAAACGCGCACACGATCAAAAAAATGAAGGTATTCTCGAGCGACTGCAAATTCGATTACTCTTGGGAAGAAGTATCCACTGCCAACTGGAGAAAATATTGTCCCTGGAACGACAAATCTACACATGTAATAGCCGTCGATACATTATCGCGATATGTAGATGCCGAAACCGGAATTGTACGTTTATCATATCATGACTGATCCCACTTATGCTTCCTGAAGTACTAACAAACCATCCAGTTACGAACCGAACGACTCATAACTTGCAAGCAAAGCGCACCAAAATGGTTAAAATCATTAATGGGCGGCAAAGATACCTCGCACGTCTTTGAAACGTCATACGTCGACCCCGTTACCAAGAAAGTAACCATGACATCTACGAATCTCACCTTCGCCAATATAATCAACGTTCAAGAAACCGTGGTATATCGACCCCTTTCTGCAAATACAACGCAGTTTGTACAAACGGCACAAATAACCGCTTTATGCGGGGGTTGGCAGAAGGTCAAGAACGCGGTTGAGGATGCGACTGTGACTGCTTTTTCGGAAAATGCAAGGAAGGGGAAAGAAGGATTTGAGGCGGTGTTGGCAATGAGCAGAAGGGTTTTTAGTGAGGAGAAACAGAGGCAACAACAATTGGCTGCTTTGGCTTGAAGTCAAGTCAACTTGATTTGACTTGACTCATTTCGATGAGCATTCATAAACTTCTACCTACCTACCCCGATCCGATCTGATCCGGCTCGGCTCTGTATATCTCGATGAGGTTCATTCCAGAGCATACGATTCGAACGATTTGCCTCTTCATCCTTCATCTTCAAACTTTTTCCTCGATTCATTTCTGCGATTAGCGAGTTCACATCACATTAGGAGTATGGGTTTGGGATACACGGCATTTAAAATGTTCACTTTGGAGTTTTAGGGGGTATTTTCTTTTAAGCGCGGAGTTAAAAAAGGGTTTAAGTTTAAACAAATGGGTTAGATTTGCTTCATACAAAGACTTTGACTTTGGTCTTGGTCTTGGCCTGGGATGATTATTATGATGGTGGAAGATTCTTCTTTTCTTTGTTAATTAACTACGCTTCTCTGGGTTATTGTACTTTGTACTTTGTACTCTGTCCTCTACAGATAGATACCCTTTTTCTTTCTTTTCTTCTCTTTTCTGATCCTAAAAATAGAAGATGAGCTACCTACCTATGGTAAAATGTGAGAAAGAGAGATGTGAGAGGAGATGAGAGAGAGAGAGAGAGGAGTAGGAGAAGGAAAATATTAGACTTTATATTACGATACGAGTACTCGAGTATATGAGTACATCTCTTGAAAAGATGAGAATATCGTGACTTGCTTGATCTATGATTGGTTTGGATTGAGTAGACTACTTGAGTATATAATATAATATCTCCTCGGTAAAACATCAACCAAGTATTAATATTAATATCAATAAATCGAAAAGTTATATCTATATCTATATCCAATGTTATCCATACCCTCCTCCTCCTCCTCCTTCTCCTCCTCTAATGATAATGATGACAATAAACAGATAAACAGACAAACAGATAAACAGATAAACAAAATTTAAACTAAATAGATATGATATGATATAATATAATATAATAATATTGCTCTGAACTTTGAACTTTGAACTCTGAACTCTGAATTTTGAAGGCCTACAGGCAGCAGTTCTAGTCCTATCCTTATCCTTATTACTCACTCGAGTATATTAATAAAGTTTTGAATTAAATTGAATTGAATATAGAGGTTGAGGAAAAGAGAGGAGATAGAGGGAGAGGAGAGGATAGAGTGGGGGGGAGTGGAGATAAAGAGAGAGGGGAGAAGAAAGGGAGGAAAGAATTGGGGGGGGGGGAGAGGGAGATGGAGTGGGAGAGAGATAGAAGAGGAAGAAGAAGAGGGAGAGAAGGGGAGAGGATAG